GTTCTGCTGCCCTCTGCTGGCATATACTCATACAGGATCATTGCACTATTGCATAGTCCTGTATTTTTAAGCCTTCATGTGATATTCAGTATACCGCGATATAAATGTTTTTACTCTGAAATGTTTGTTTTTTTTTTCAGAGGGACTGTAATTGACTAAATACAAAATTTCAGTTTATTGTGTGAACAAAAGGCGTATACTGTAAGTGATAAGTGGGGAAAAAAAGAAACATCAAGGTAAATGCACAGTGCATGTCATTTACAGTCAAACTACTTTTTAAATTATGCCTAAAATGTGAAAATTTAATTGTGTATTTAAGCTAAGGTTTTTTTTCCCCATTTAAATGCCTATTTCTAACACTGCTGTTAACTCCATACATAATTTGAGATGTGATGGATTTGCCACTGTAGTGAAAGTTTTATAGCTTTCAGGAGGGGAAAGATTAAAAAAAAAAAAAAGAATAATAATACAAATAAATTCTTATGTGATGCACCATTGTTACTACACTAGTGAGATTAAAAGTGTTATTTTCTGTTTACCCAAATGACAACCAGATCTCTAATACATGCAGTCACATAAACTATCATAGAGTTCTCTCACTAATAAGTGTCGTCTTTCAAACATCTTTGCTTCCCTCAGCTCCTATCTTCTGACTTGACAAATCATCTATGTAAATCAGTCTGACACCAAAGTTACTCCCATTTGTTTGTCATCAGTTTGAAATTATGCAGACTTGATTTAGGAACTCACTTATGTCTGGTCTGCTCTTCACATAATCATGATGGCATGCTCCCCTAGTTTTATATGGGTCTGAACATAAGTGGTAAAGTTGCTTATGGCAGGAGAATGGCAAAGGATCACCTGTGGATCCTCAGGAAGAATGAACACATGGCACTGACTCATAAATGGTACAGTATGTCTGGTTTATTGAGATGATGTTACATTTACTTGTCCTCCAGGCTGTACGTTTCCTGATCAAATAAGTTGTCAATCTTTTTTTTTTCTGGGTCACAGCTTGTATTTGGATTTATTTATTTTTTGTTCCAGTTTGATGGTAATACAAAAGTAAGTGAATTTTATTTTCCAATTTTCAGATGTGCACAGTGGTAGGACATCATTTCTCTTTATAAAAATTTTTCAAATTTATTTGCATTCTTTTCCAAATTACTCCTCTACTCTCTTTGACCTAGATTATTTTGCTATTAACGTTGAAGTTAACTATAATGATAATCATATTATTGATGTCATAGAATTATTATATTATCATATATAAGTTTACAGTGCTGTGTAATGCTACATAACTTTATAGAGCTTGAAGAATTTCTGCATCATTAAAACAAGCCCTCTGTAGTCCCATATGCTGATATATGACATGAACCTGACTGATTTTTATTCAGGTGTTTCTGACTTCACCGTGTGTAAGAGGCTGTAAAGATGTCCAGAGATCTGCATGAGGATGATGATGGATGTGAGGCAAAGGTTATATGGTGCTTCAAACAAAGGTTATTTGGTGCTTCAAACAAAGGTTATATGGTGCTTCAAAGCAGAAAAATAAAGTAAGATGCACTGTTCATATTTTTCTGATATAGAAAACAATTTACGCTAGGCGTGTATTGATAGTTTACACATTTATGCAGCTCTGCGTGAAGTCCAGTTCTTGGAGAACGTCCCTGAGAATGGTGTTATCCTGATTCTTTCCAGCTCTGTTCACTTTAAACCCTGTCGTCATCATTGGAATGAAACAGAATTTATGTTTCTGCTCAGATTCACATGTTTTAGTGTTTTTTTACTGCCTGACATGCTTTGAACACCACATGCTCTGATGTTTGAGCTTCAGTTTATTGGTGTACAGTGCTGAGGTGTTTCCGCACAGCATGCTGACGTACATGGCATGTAGCTGTATATCACAACAGGTCAGGATGTTAACGATCCGTGCCGGAGATTTTCCATGAATCCTTTAAGCATTTTTCAGACACGGCTGACACCTACAGCAATTATTTGAGTTAAAAGTTTTTACATACAAAGTCATTAAAATGTTATTTTTGTCCATTTAAAATCATAAATGAACCTAATAGCTGATTTATTTAGTTCGTAAATGTCAGATATTGGATTCATAATAGGAATAATCACCTCTTAGAAATCAAACCTAAGTGATTACCACTTCCACAAAACACTAGTTATGGGAAGGAATGAAACGCGCCCCCACACACACACACATACAGGAGATGCGTTCAAAGTCTTCAGAGTTTATTCAGGATTCACAAGGGAATATACACTCTTGGCATGTGAAACAATGATTGTTATGCTTCTCATAACCTTCAGTGGTACCTTAATCCACAATATTTACTAAAACTGTCTGCCGTACTTCTGCATGGCAGCTAAAAGCAGGCACTTTCACATTGCATGGGTGAGGGTCAATGAAAAAGCACACACATTTATGAAATCAATGGTAATTCACAAAATTCTTGACATTTAGTCACCCTGTTGAAAAAAAAAAACAGCATATGCCGGTTAGGTATGTTTTGAAGCATGGCAGCTGGTTTGAGCTTTTTTAAGCTGGTCCTTAGTTGGTCATGAGCTGGTTTAAGCTGGTCCTGAGTGGGTTATAAGCTGGTTATAAGCTAGTCCTGAGCAGGCGCTAGTTGCTTAGGACCAGCACAAGACCATCTTAAACAGAGCTCATAATGCTCCGGTTACTGATGTAACCTCAGTTCCCTCAGATAAGGGAACAAGCGTTGCGTGAAACGCTAATGGAAAAACTCCTGTTTTACTCTGTACTGAAGCCTGATTTGTTCACGTTTAAGAAAGGGCGGAGCCGACCCTTAAATAAGTCGGCTCAGAGCGCCATTCATCAGACAGTCATCGATTCGTGTGCAGCTTATAGCGCAGCAAGTGACGCAACGCTCGTTCCCTTATCTCAGGGAATCGAGGTTATGTCAGTAACCGGAGCGTTCCCTTTCGAACGGTCTCTCCCGCTGCGTGAAACGCTAAGGGGAACGCATCCAATCATGCCGCGCTATGAGCAGATACAGGACATCCTGCACTGAGAGCCCAGTCTCGGAGCACTAATAAGGACCCCTGAGAACATGAGCATATTGTGCCCCAAGCTAGTGGCTGAGAAGCACTAATATAACCAGCTTCGCCCAAGAGGGAAGAGTGGTACATTAAACTGAAAGAACTCGCGCCTGTAAAGCAGGGACGTCTAAGTTATAGAATCTGGCAAATATGGACAGCGATGACCAGCCGGCGGCCGCACAGATCTCACCAATAGAAATTACGCTGGACCACGCCCAGGAGGAGGTCATCCCTCTTGTGGAATGGGCCCTCACACCTATAGGGCATTGCAAGCCTTCCGAGGCGTAAGCCAAGGCTATCGCATCAACAATCCAGGGAGAAAGTCGCTGCTTTGTGGCTGGCAGTCGTTTATGGTGGCCTCCAAAGCAAACAAAAAGCTGCTCTGACTGTCTAAACAGGCTAGAGTGCTCTAGATATACTCTCAGAGCCCTCACTGGACAGAGCATGTTCGGACACTGCTCACCATCTGTAACGGGGAGCACCAATAGGGAGATCACCTGAACTCTGAATGGAGTTGAGAGCACTTTAGGAACATAACCATGTCTTGGTTTTAGAATGACTTTACAGTCATTAGGCCCAAACTCAAGACATGAGGCGCTGATTGACAGCGCTTGTAAGTCACCCACTCGCTTAACCAACGGCAAGGCAAGGAGGAGGGCCGTTTTAAGCGATAAGGGACGCAAATCGTCCGAACTGAGCAGCTCGAAGGGGGGCCCGCAGGACTATAGACAAGTCCCAAGACGTCACAGTCTGAGGGCGAGGAGGATTCAGCCTCCGTGCACCCTTCAAGAACTTAATAGACTTAGGACCAGCACAAGACCATCTTAAACAGAGCTCATAACGTTGTGTTGTTACGTCATTACAAAAATGTAATGATCAGGTCGTTTCTGCCGATCAATTGGCCAGCATCGAGAGAATGGTTTGCTGCGATAGCTGCCACATATACTTTGAGTGTGGAGGGGGCACGCCCCTTATCCAGCAGCTCTTGCAAAAAGGTTAGCACATGGGACACTTCACATGATATTGGGGTCCAAACTTCGTGCAGAAGACCAGTTAAGGAAGACCGACCATTTTAGGCTGTAAAGTCGTCTTGTAGACGGCACTTTTGCCTCCAAAATGGTATTGCTTACTCGAGGCACCATACATGAAGGCTCCACAGCTCCAGGCCTGGTTCCTCCAGAGCGGGACTACTAGGAGGAGAGAGCACTTGGTCTCCCTGAACCGCCTGACGATCTGAGGAATCAGGGCGATCGGGGGAAACGCATATAGGCGAGCACTGGCCCAGTTGTGGGCCAGAGCATCTCACTGTATCGAGAAGTATGTTGGGCAGTGAGAGTTGTCTTCTGAGGCAAAGAGGTCGACCTCTGCCCTCCCGAAGACTGACCAGATCTCTTGAACCGTTTGAGGGTGTAGTGTTATTCGTCTGGGGCCCTATTCGCCTGGGGCTACCTTGCCTCTGGACAGCATGTCTGCACCAAGGTTCAATCTGCCCGGCACATGAACCACCCTTAACGAGAGGAGTTCTTTCTGTGCCCAAAAAAGGAGGCGACGAGCCAAGGTACACAAATAATCTGTTATAAATTGCACTATATTGTTTGAAAATGAAAACTACTGCACTTGCTTTAAAAGTTATTACATTCTTTGTTACATTTATGCACAGCCATGCATCTTATATATTATGCAGCAAATGTAAAAATGGGTGGGTTCACAGGAGGAGCTCTGGATATTAGTGTTCCTCTGGATGGCAGCAGATTACTCACATGAATGGAGCTGATGCACATTATTACATTTCTTGTCTTGTACAGCAAACCCATACAGTCTTCACACATATCCAGTGATTCTCAATCATTCTGTATGGCATCTCTTTATTGCATGTGGATCTCACACAGAGAAGAGGCTGTGAAGACTGTCATGTTCTTCTGATCTTCATCATTCAGCTGCTGATTTTTGGTTGGACTCGAGCCTGTACTGTACTGAAATTAGAGCTGTTTCACACAGTAAGTGCACATTTTTCTTGCATTAGCTGTTTTAATTCAGTAATATATTAGTTCAGATAAATGAGACTTATGAGAAAATAACTTTTTTTTGCTATTACACTTTTGAAATATGAAATTTCAAATGTTAATGGTAAGTTTTGAGCATTTAGGGTGGAAATTAAATAAGCAGACACTGGTTGCATACTTTAAATGAGGCAATGCATGTGATGCATTTGAGAATAAGGTTATTCATTCTTAATACTGTGTTGGCATCTGTTTGTCTTTCTTCTGCTGTAGTGATGATACGGCTGTGTGTAAGCTGGCTGTTTTTTTTGTTGGGAGTGCAGCTTGTTTTGGCTCAGCTGGGCAAACTTGACGATGCTGCTGATGATGATGTTGATTTAGAAGACAAGAGAAATGGAAGAAACAAAAATAAACCAATCACCTCTAATGTCATCCCAAAAAACAATGGTAAATATTTCTTGCTGTTCAGCACAACACAGTTAATACATAAATACTTAAAACTGAAATTGATATTTATACATTACCTGAGTGATGTAGCTGAATAAGATTTATACATCACCTGATGTAGCTGCATAAATAAGCTTTCCATTGATGTATTGTTTGTTAGGATAGGACAATATTTGGTCGAGATACAACTATTTGAAAATCTGGAATCTGAGGGTGCAAAAAAATCTAAATACTGAGAAAATCGCCTTTAAAGTTGTCCAAATGAAGTTCTTAGCAATGCATATTACTAATCAAAAATTAAGTTTTGATATATGTAAGGTAGTAAATTTACAAAATATCTTCATGGAACATGATCTTTACTTAATATCCTAATGATTTTTGGCATAAAATAAAATCAATAATTTTGACCCATACAATGTATTGTTGGCTATTGCTACAAATATACCTGTGCTACTTATGACTGGTTTTGTGCCCCAGGGTCACATATGTGAAGTTTGCTGCCTTACGGTCTGCTCTGCTTTCCAGGGCTTCTGAATTTGATCTAAACTCTATCCTGGGGCAGATTTCCTCTTTGACATGTTTCTTCTTCATCATAAATATGATTTACTGGAGACTGGGGTCATTTCAGCTGGTTCACATTTACTATTACATTTACATTTTTTGGCACTTTACGTTATTTATTTATTACCTAAACAGTTATCAAAGGATTAAAGTCAAATAGGAGTCACAGACTGTACTTTAGTGTCAAACCACATTACAATGTGTGCAGTCACAAATCAGCATTGTTGTCACTTTGTTATTCCAAGTCTCACTTAAAGAAATAGTTCACCCCAAAAATTATATTTACTAAAAATGTTGTCCCAAACTCATATGCTGCATTGTTTAATTAGTATCACTGATTTACTATTGTAGTTTTTGTTAATATTTTGAATTAAATTTTATTTTTAGATTTTAAGATAATCATTTAAAATTTTAGTTGTGTGGTTTTGCTATTTTTAATGTCTGTATAGTTTTTTTTTAAGTTTTAGTACTTTTACTATTTTAATATGAAAATGCAATGTTGCTTTGTCAACTAGCTGAAATAAAATAAGTGTAAAGATTTAATATTTTATTTAAGTTGTTTATTTTATTTCAATTAACGAAAATGTTTTTTTATGCTTTTGGTTTTAGTTTTTGTTAACAATAATAAGCCTTGTATGCTGTTCTTTTTTCTGTAGGCCACAATGATATTTTTTGAAGAATCTTCAGAAAATCTTATTATCACTTAAACTCTTAAATTCAATAACAGTCCATATTTGCAGCAGTCAAGCTACACAAAATGCAAAAACACAGTAAAACACTATAAAACTCAAATCAATATGACACCAGAAGTCAAGGTTAATGTAAATGAAGTTTGGTCACAATACATGCAAGAAACAAAGATGTTTGAAAATATTATTGATGTCCAATCTGACGTTTTAACATAGGTTTGAATTTATATCTTTGGGTCAATGTTTAATACTTTTTTGTCTTTTTTTCCAACTTTCAGATGTGGACTGTACTTTGGAACTGGCATTTTTGGTGGACAGTTCAGAAAGCGCCAAAGACAACCATGCTCAAGAGAAGCATTTTGTTACTGATCTCGTTAGCCGGATCCGAAACATCCATCTCCAAACTGGACAGGGCTTGAAATTCAGAACTGCTCTCCTTCAGTACAGCAGTCATGTGATCATCGAACAGTCCCTCAAAGATTGGAGGGGTGTGCACACCTTCCAGGATCACATCGAGCCCATGCCTTACATAGGGCATGGTACCTATACCACCTACGCCATCACCAACCTCACACGCATTTACCTGGAGGAGTCTGGCCCTGACAGCGTGAAGGTGGCCATTCTGCTGTACGATGGCAAGTCGCATCCCAAGAATCCCGATATCTTCTCTGCTTTAGCTGATGCTAAGAACCAAGGGATTAAATTCTTCACAGTGGGATTCACATCCGCTGCCAATGTGGAACAGCTGCGGCTCCTGGCCAGTCCTCCAGCCGCCCGCTACGTACACAACCTACAGGACAAGGGCGTCGTGGACAAGATCGTCAAAGAGATTGTAAGTAGTGTTTTCCCATAGGAAATAAAAATCTTGCGTCAAATGTTTTTTTGATAGACATAAACGAGAGCAAATGGAAATTTTGTCCTGCTAGACCCCAGAAATCTAATGTGTATCATTAAAGGGATAGTTCACCCAAAAATGGAAATACTGTAATTATTTACTCACCCTGATGTCGTTCCAAACCTGCAAGACTTTCGTTCAACTTTGGAACACAAATTATATTTTAATATTTTAATGAAAATTTATCGGAGAGATTTCTGTCCCGCCATTAATAGTCTACACTACTACTACTTTTTCGCTTCAAAAGCTCTTAACATCTTGAGTCTCATCAGAAAATTTGGACTAAACTGCTCAATTCATATGGATTAGTTTTATGATCTCTTTCTGAACATTTTGAAGCATCCAAGTGGTAATTGCGTAGAGTTTCAATGGCGAGACAGAAATCTCTCAGATTTTATTAAATTATTTTCATTTGTGTTCTAAAGATGAATGAAAGTCTTACAGGTTTGGAACGACATAAGAGTGAGTAAAGATGTCAGAATTTTCATTTTTGGAGTAACTATCCCTTTAAGAATTTTCCCAGAAGCATTGTGAGCCTAAAGGCTGGAATGCACCACACAATTTTTTAAAACATATAGGCATCACTAAGCAATTTAGATGGTATGGAAGCCTGTTTTCTGCCACTCAATAAAAAATATTAATTGTGACTTTTTATCTCATATTCTGACTTTTTTTTGCAATTGCGTGTTTACATTTCGCAATTCTGACTTTTTTCAAATTGCCTAATACAAACTTGCAAGTCTGACTTTTTTTTCCTCAGAATTGTGAGATACAAACTCACAATTCTGACTTTTTTTCTCAGAATTGCGAGTTTATATCTCGCAATTGTTATTTTATTTCTCACAATTTATATCCTGCTATTCTGACTTTTTTATTCAGTGGCAAAAACGGGTGAAATGGCAAAAGTCTGAAGAAAAAAACTAAACTCTGTGCGCTTCATAAACTTTGCAATTTTCTGTGAGATCTGTTGATTCCGACTGCCCAAAATCTGAAGATTTTAACTTTCGGAAACAAGCATCAACTTTTGCAGACTTAAGATTGGAGCAAAAATCTATGCAAAAATTGTGCAGTTTATTCCAGCCTTAAACTGATCACAGAGGCAATTGGTGCCAATGACTTCTACAATCAACTTAGGCTTGTGGTGCTGTTTGAAGTCTCTCAATATAAACTAAATTTCTATTTAAATTCTGTGATCTGAACTGTGATCCTCATTAATTTTATAGTTCTTTATGTATACTGAATATTAGCTGTTGTCTCGTTTGTGCCTATTTTTATTTCTCCTGAGGAATGTTTGAAGAAACATCTGAAAAAATGTCATGAAAGAGGAACATCTGAGCAATAAAATTTCCCTCAGGATTGTCCAAACAAAGAAGTTTAAGATGGCAGTGTTAAGACAAGAGCTGTGAAAACAAATTTTTGGTTCTTAGGGACAAACTTTGAAGTGTAGAAATTATGAAGGTCAGATGCTTGTAAAGGCCCAAATTAAGGATTTATATCTCTTGAGGGATCACAGATTAAGCGGGGCATGTATGTGTCGGGGTTTGTGCTACTGAGAACACTCTTCATGCGGTTATGGAAAATGGGCAGTCTTATCTCTGTATCTGTCCTGAGGACATGGAAAAAGTTGATTATGAATTCCTTCGACAGGGCATTAAGGGCATAGTGAGTAAATGCTTTCTGAAACACACCTTACCTCAAGATAAAAACCCCTAAAGGTGATTTAAGAAGTTGTCTACTTTATTAGAGCATAGTATTTTGGACCATGGTGTGCTTGTCGGCAAGTGATGCAAGTACAAGTCTGGCTCGTGTAATTTCCTGAACCCATTCTCTCTTTATTGCCTGATAAAAGTGATACAAAGCATGCCTGCAAAAAAAGCTTGGTGCCAACACCTGCTCAAGTGTGCCCCACAATGCACGTAAGATGCATGTCATGTCTGTCTGTGAGATTCCATCCATCTAATTCATCACACTTTTATGTTTTATTAACAAGGTTCGGGAGGAGCATGATCAGATAATCAACCAATTTGGCACAGGTGCAACCCGTTTAGCTAATCATTCTAACTAGCACAATACGTATATATACACAGCCTACTTACCTCTATCCTACGACAGTTTTCTGGCATCCAGCTTCATTCGACTGCCAAAAAATGTCTGAACTTGAGCGCTTCCCATCTGACGAGCTGGATGCTCCACCGCAAGCCACCGGCTCAAAGGCACCACTTTCTCAACCCTCCGGCTCAAAAGCACCTCCTTCTCAAGCCACCAGCTCAAAGGCACCTCCTTCTGCTGGCTCTAAGGCGCTTCCTCCTTGGCCCGGTTCCACCGCCGAGCCCCAGGCCTCGGCACGCGGGCGGAGGACCACAAGGCCATCTACTCGCACACCTAATCCATGAAGACTCTGTTCACCTCCACCATCAAGACAACCATCGCGCCGCACGCAGCATCGCCCGCTGGCGTGGCTTACCAACCTCCTATCCTTCCCACTCCCTTCCTTCTACCTCCGACGGCAGATGCTAGCGTGAGGCTGCCTCCGCTAGCCGCTTAAACTCAGCCGCCTTACTACCACCCTTCCGCTACTCCTTTTCCCTATCAATGGCCAGCAGCCCCCGCTGCAGACGTCCGAGTAGGACATCATCAGCCAGCAACACGAGCTTACTTGCCTCCTCCCTCATTTCCTTCTACCTCTTCCTACGTGCTTCCCCAAGCACCAGGAGCTAATCCGTGCGTGAGGCTGCCTCCGCAAACGGTTAAGGCCCCTCCTTATATTCCTTCTAACCCCTCTCTCCAATCTAAACCCCAGTACACTTTATTCACAGCAGTCCCGCTACCTACCCCACCGAATGCCGCAGCTCTGGAACCACCCCCTGTACCTAATACCATCAAGTCTCATATTCTCGCAGGTGCGGACATTGATCTCTCATCTCTCCTCTCTCTCTGCTACCTCCCGATGAATCTCATCGGCAAATAGATTTTGGAGATTTCTCAGTAACACTAAAAAATCCAACTCCCAATTCATTCCGCCCCCTCTCATTTTCTGAATTCACTCTAGCATTTGGCTGCTACACGGAAATAGTTTGTTTGGTTTTTTCCCCATAGATGGTGCAAACGTAATGATTCTGTGGCGATAATCACGGAACTTGATTTATTTTGTCTTAACGGTGGAACCCATTTTTACGCGTATAATCATAAATTATTTTCAGCCAAATGTGCGGTACGTGTTGCTCAGTGGAATCAGTGCCCCTATTGGTGCGCACTGGACTCTGATCTCCACAACAGACTATTTTTTATTTGCCGGAATATATCGTGCACAGTCTGCAGGTCAGTAGCTCACTCGACCATCTCATGCCCCCAAATTAATCCCACTAGAATACCCTGCCCAGAAACGACACAAGTCAAATCTACCAGCTACGTCCCTCATTCTGAAACCACGAATCCAATATCGAATTCTAGGGGAGGATCTATCTCATTCTCTGACAACCAGTAGGTTTGCAGAAATTTCAACAGAGGAATATGCCTCAGACAGCAATGCAAGTTTATCCATGTTTGTAATTAGTGTGGCGGGCTCATGCCCGTACAGTATGCCCAATCATGAAAGCTGCCAATAAAAAATCTAGAAACTACTTATCGACTCCAGTCAATATTTCTTGATTATCCTCTGAACTTTCCAATCACCCAGACACTAACTTCACCAATTATCTACTTTCTGATTAAAGCTCATCGTTCTGAAAAGCGAGGTGTGCTCTGAATGACCAGCTATCCAGTGTGTTGTGATTGGCCGAATACCTCAGGGGCGTGTTAGAATGAGCCGTTTTAGGTAGGTGTGGCTGACTGTTAACTTTTATAAAGAATATCTCTTTGGATTTGAGACTGTAGTCTTTGCAACTTTACAGATCTTCTTTATGCACCAAGAGCTTGTAACACTCCAAAGTCATCATATGACCCCTTTAAACAATGGAAGGGCTTAACCTTTTTCTACAGCGATCTGGTTTCTCTCCCGGATGACATTCAACTGTTTACCGACGCAGCCCCATCCGTCAGTTTCGGGGGATTTTACCAAGGGCATTGGTTCGCGTCTCCATGGCCCCCCCAGATGCTCGACTCTGCCCAGTCCTCAGCACTGTTCGAACTCTACCCTCTAGTTGTCGCTGCCTTTTTGTGGGGAAAAAAATTGGACGTCAAGCAGTATCTTAGTTTACTGCGACAACGAAGTGACTGTTTACTGCATAAATAAAAGCTGTTCTCATTCCCTCGCTCTCATGCCACTACTAAGACGTCTAATCTGGATTTCAGCATGTGATCAATTTATTATAACTGCTAAACACAGTCCTGGATCCAAAAATCTAATTGCTGATTCTCTCTCTCGTTTTATGTTTCAGAAATTCAGAGTGCTGGCTCTGGAGGCAGACCCATCGCCAACCCCAGTACCTTACTATTCACAACTCATATTCCCATAACTCATCCCTTAAAACCTCTCCTCGACACGTCACTCGATTCTATCCTCCAAGCAGTTTCACCCAGAACTATCCATTCATATCTAACAGCTTGGAGAGGTTTCAAAGCATTTCACCTCTCCTATAACCTGCCATTTCCCGATTTTTCTCTCCTCGCAATTACTTCATTTATTTCCTACCTTAATTCCATTAAGAACCTCTAAGCCAGGTCTATGAAAGGTTACTTAAGTGGCGTTCAATTTTTTCACAAACTAATATACGGCTTCCCCTCCCCCGAAATAAATAATTCTCAAACTTCTCTTCTAATTAAAGGAATTCAGCGCTCTCAACCATCAAGCCCGGACAACCTATAACTTTGGACATCCTTACAAAATGCATCCAAAGTCTCCCCACAGGGTACAATTCTATCCATACCGCTCGTACCCTCGACACCATGTTTTTATTGGCTTTCTTTGGTTTTCTGAGATGCTGAGAACTTGCAATAACCTCTAAATTCAACCCAAAACTACATCCGACCATCTCTGATTTATCCATACTTGATAGCGAAACTATCGCTTGCTTCATTAAGCAAAGTAAGACAGACCAAGAAAGAAAAGGCCACTACATATACATTTTTAACCTCTCATCTCCAATTCAACCATATCAGGCTCTTTTTTTCTTACTTCCAACTCAGGAACGCTAAATCTAAATCTAAATCCCCTCTGGACCCTCTTTTCGTCGACTCTAACCACCCCTTTACATGTTTTTGGTTCCAAAAACACTTAAAACTGATCCTCGCTCAATCGCTCAAGGCTTACCCGCAGAAAAATTTTCAAGCTACTCATTTCACATCGGGGCAGCAACTACAGCAGCTCAAAAAGGCCTCTCATAGCATCAGATACAAGCCCTCGGTCGATGGTCATCAGACGCTTTCAAAAGCTACATCAGGTGTAATCATCTCCACATAAAGGAAGCCATCGTTTCGATGTTCGTTGTTCCCTTCTGGTACAGCAGAGCCGCGGCTCCCTTCGGTCGCAGTGTGAGCCCTCAGTCGTTTTGAGTTATGCTGCGTACTCGGCAGCGGACGGGGCTCTCCCTCCCAGTGCAGCAAAGACACAGGCTCCCTTCGGTCGCACTGAGAACCCTCCATCTGACGCATCAAATCGCGCCTCATATTCAGCTGCAAGAGGGATTTGATGTCTGCCATCGTGCTACTCTTTTTGCGGCATGTAGGGCTTGCCAGTCTGACACTGCAAGCTCCCATCGAGCACTGCACAGGCTCTCCCGGTCGCCCTGTCCCCTGTTTTCTTTGCAAATTCTAACCCATATCTCTTCACGGCACGCATATTTTGAGGGGCAACTAACAATTGGTCTCCGGCTGCTGTCCCATGCCTATAAGCTTCTTTTGGGGAGTTCTCTGGGTTCGGGCTATATTCCAGGCTCGAAGCCCTCCCCCAGGACAGCATGCCAAAATATACTTACTATTTGCTTAATCAGATTAGATGTAAGGGTGAACTCCTGAAATGATGTTTTATTAACAAGGTTCGGGAGGAGCACGATCAGATAATCAACCAATCTGGCACAGGTGTAACCCGTTTAGCTAATCAGTCTAAATAGCACAATACGTATATATACACAGCCTACTTACCTCTAGCCAACGAAAGTTTTCTGGCATCCCTCCTCCACCCCAACTCTTCACTCTTAATCTATTCTCATCCTATACTAGGGATAGGGGGAGTTCTCTGGGTTCGGGCTATATTCCGGGCTCGGAGCCCTCCCCCATGACAGCACACCAAAATATGCTTACTATTTGCTCAATCAGATCAGATGTAAGGGTGAACTCATGAAAAATCCTTCAACAGTTTCTTGTGGCTTTGGCTAATGGTTTAAGCATTGTTTCCTATTAGTAGACAGGAATGCTGAATCTTAGTGTGTCTGGAGTTGTATAAACTTACAGAATGTCTTTAATGTGGTGAGCTGACCTCAGTGTCTCAGCATCTGCACATGAACGGGAAACTTTTACGACTGAATATATTATCCAGCGCTGCCGTCTCCTGCTAGAGGTTCCCTTGTGCTTCTCTGATAATAGAAAACCGCAGATCACAGGAGAGACATCCAAGCCTGTGACACATTATTTTTTTCGTATTTTCTTATGAACAATGGTAAGAATAAAGATAATAGACATTCTTTAGAAGTAATTGGTATACAAAATATCCTTAACTTTGTTTTAAAGTTAGAAAATAAAAATAAAATGGCAGTTAAGAAGAATATTATTCTTAAGAACGTTTTGTGAATGTTCTGGCCCCTTATAGGTCTTGACCATTCCTTTTAGGGCTGGTTGACTATCTTGGCTAAGCTGGTAAGGGGTAACTACATTTAAGGTGATAAATGGTTTGGTTTTGCTGGGTTTTAGATGGTCCAAGCTGGTAATTAGCTGGAATTAACTGGAACAAGCATGTTTAGGTGGTTTTAGTCAACCACACTACCATTTTATGGGACTGAGGTTGACCTGGTAAATCATGATCGCGCTGGGTAGAGCTGATACACTACTTTGACTAAACTAGTTTAGACCTCGCTGAGCTACTAGACCAGTTTGATCACTTTTTTCCTGTCAGAATGGCTGATTTTAGGCTCAATGGTTGGGCAAAAGAGTGATATCTGTAACAGACATTTGTGGTGGGTAGATCCAAATTCTGAGGGTAAAAATACTCCAGCTTATTCTGATTTTAGATTTTTTTTGTTTGTATACCAGTACATATATTGTGATTATTCAGTTTAGCTTCTCAACTGTGCATCTGATGTAGTCAAATAGGTTTATAAAGATGTTTTTGGAACAGTTTCTTTCTCAGGTATTGAATGTAAATAGATCTGGTGGGTCTGCTTGACCAGTTTGACACCCTTAAGCTGGTATGAATTTTTTTCTTAGCAGGTCTACTGGAGTTAGAGCAGAATAACAGTTAATGGATTGCAGTATTTGCACAGTGAACATCTGTTTCTCATTGACTTTGTGCTGGGTCAGAGCTTTAGGGTACTATGAGCAGCATGATCCTGCATGCAGGATGAATATCTCACCCAGCCTTCTGCACGCTAGCTGCTCTAGAAAGACTGTTGATGCAGGTGCTTGTCAATGAGACAAGAAAAGCACATTCGCAGGCCAGGAGCATTCAAATCGCATGCAACATTGTCATCTTCTCTGCTGCTCAACTGTCTCATCCGCTGTAGTTACATCTGTTAATCAGCTGCTCGTTCAAGCTAAGCGTGATGTTGCTCATCACACACGTTTTCGGTTAAATAAGACATGCATCTTTCCACTTTGTCATTATGTCAACTGTGTGCTCTGTTTGCAATCAAGATGAAATGACTTAATGTGTTGCAATTACATTTTCTGTCTATCATCACTGACCTTAAACTTGATCTTTCATCCAAGGAATGTTGTTGAAAATGTGTCTCTCTTTCTGTTTTTCTCATTCATTCACATGTGCATCTATTATGCAAATGCATGCACACTAAACCTGGCATGAGAAACATCTAAAAAAAAAAAAAAGGCAGACTTTCTTCCAGCAGCCTTTTGTGTATTGAGAAGAGACTAAATGTGGAACTTTTCAGTTTTCTAAAAGTTGGTTTGGACATTTATACCTGTATAGACTGTATGAGGTCTCATCATTTTTGTAAATTTTTTTTCTTGTAAATTCACCTTTTTCACTTTTGTTTCCTTCTAGACTGAGGTGGCTAATGAAGTGGTAAGTGTTTGACTGACAGAATTCATTTAGGACACTTATGAGTGACATTATTTGTTGTGACTAAAGCAGTGTGTGTGTGTGTGTGTGTATGTCCAACAGTGCCCTCTTTCCCCAAAATGCACTTGTGAGAAAGGAGAGCGAGGACCCAGCGGACCACCTGTAAGTGTCACACATTCTTAAAACCCTTTCCAGCCCCTCACACAGTTTCAAAAAAAGCATAATTTAATATAAATTCAGATTTTGTCTTTCCACATGTTTTTAATAAAGAGAACAAATGCCCACCAGATTGATCAAAGTGGCCTCATTGGCAGAACATGCAAGAATTTTACAATTGTATAATTATTCATGCTTATGTCATACTAAACCTGTTTGCTATTATTATTGTGTTGCTCATTTTTTGTAGCATCTCCACACAGCTGTTGTCCATACAGTGACAGTGACATCTGTCAATCTCCAAAAAGGAGCATAAAGTGGAAAAAAATCAATGAAAGCATCATAAAATTAGTCCCTAAAATAGACTTCTTGCATTTTGATGAAACCACACTGAATTTGATTTGGTGGAGAGAAGTTGTTTGAATATTGCTGTAAAATAAAAAATTCAGATATTGAACATTTTTTGAAAGAAAACTGCTTGACTGCTATTTTAAATTAATAAAATTTCAGCCTATTAATAAAACCTTATATCTTTATTATTGTAAAGAATTTTCAGAGTCTAGAAGGGAACACATAAACATAAATAAATAATTCTGCACCCGTCAGTTTATACCACTTTAACCAGTTTTCTTTGTCTAGAAACTGTTGACAGAATGATCTGCTGTGCATGGCAGAATCTGAATCATTAGTAAATTAACGCTCTTTCTCTGAGAACCACAGGGTAAAAAGGGTCGTCCTGGAGAAGATGGAAGTCCAGGAACTAAAGGACAAAAGGTCAAAGTTATTTTAAATGATCACCCATGTTTGTCATTATTTATTTGTGTTACCCTCTAAAATGAGACACACTTCCTGCAGGGAGAGAGTGGATTCAGCGGTCCTCCTGGACGAGACGGGACAGAGGTGAACCTGTCCAGAACAAGGCCTAAAGTCACTCTATTTTGACATTATCTGCTTGTGTAATTACTCTTTCTCACCATGTGTTCTGTATTGATTATTAGGGGAAACCTGGATACAAAGGAGAAAAGGTAAAATGATGCATCATAGATGGATTTACAAATCATCGGTTGTGCTAGCAATCTCATGGTTAGATTAGGGGCAAAAAGTATTCGTTAAATGCAATTTAAGTCGCTTTGAATAAAAGCATCTGCCAAATGTAAGCAAATATAAATGTTATGTGCCTTATATGCAATCCTTAATGGTGCAGATTTTTTTTATGTTGTACTGACTGATGTTACAGTGTTTTTAACTGTTAATATAGAATATTAAATTTAAAATAGTATAATATCATTTTTTTATTTATGAAGAATAAAACAGCTTTTTAGCCAACTGATATGACTTTATACTTAATCTCATCTGAGTGTATATCATATTTGTCAAAAGTAATATATATTTTTCCAAAAATGAATGGGCAAACCTTAAAATTGTGTTGTGTATATACTGACACTGACTATTAAAAAAAAAATATATATAGTTCAGTCATGAAACTCTAGATGGCACATTCTTACAGGGTGTTAACGTAACTGCTGATATTCAGAGAGTTAAACGACTTGGCACAGCAGCAATAATCTACAACTACAGCAATAACCAACAGCAGCAGCAATTCAGCAGCAGTGTAGCAGATCTGTTCCGCCAAGACCAAATACATTAACATTGTCATATCCATCACCATGCTAAAAGAGTTGTCATGATTGAAATATATTTTTTAGGGTGAGCGAGGGGAGTGTGGGACACCAGGAGTCAAAGGAGACAGAGTGAGTGACACTTCAGATCTACAGTTCATGTACAGTAACATGCTGTATTTTTAACTGAATGAATCTGATTCTTTAAAGGGTCCGGAGGGCCCTGTTGGTATCAGAGGAAGCAGAGGACTGCAGGTTTGTCTTTAAACTTCATTTATGAAAATGCAAAACAAACATTTTCTTTTTCATTAGTAGTTTACTATATTACTCTGTTATGTTTCTCTGCAGGGTTTGCCTGGACCTAATGGAGACATTGGCCCTGAGGGCCCACCAGGCAAAAAAGTGAGTTCGATTCAACAATGTCTGCTTTCAAATACAGTAAAGCAGCTATTTTTTTTCTTCTAGAAAGCAGGTGGACAATTACACTCTTCAAAATAAAGATTACAAAAGAGGCTTTTCACAGTGATGCCATAGAGGAACCATTTCAGTTTCCTGCAAATACCGTTCTTAAAAAAAATTATTAGTTTGAGAAACATTTTAATGATCTTTAATAATCATGAAGCATCTTTTTCCAATTTAAAGGACCTTTTGTGAAATGGAAGTGTTTGTTAATGGATGTGGATGTTAAATGTTCTTCACAGAACAATCAATGCCAATAAAATTTAAGTGTGTAGGGAATGTTTGGGAGAAACTAATGCCATAAACGTTCTTCCATGTTCTTGTGTAATAGAAATATTTCTGCAGACCTAAATGCCCTGTATGTGCTTGCAGGGTGCTGCCATGCTAAAAAATTACTTTAAAAGCATTCTAGGAAAGAATTCATCAGGCTGGTTATTTTTTTATTTGGATCAATTTTGACACTCAAAAAGCTCATCTAGTTCACTGTCAGTGCTGATATGCATCTGTGTGCTACCAAAGAGAACTCAGAACTTAATTATTTTTCTGGAATGTTATTTTTTCCTGTACTGATGGCTATCATCTGAGCAACAGATTCATGTCTGGACTTGCATGCTTGTGTCGCACCACAAATCAGTATTTTTATCTTTGACAGGTGAAGGTGTTCTGCATAATGTGTCTGAACACAGTAATTGCTGTCTTTGGTTAAATATGTCTGACACGAGCCATGTGTCTTCAAAGACCCCCAGTTTCATCTGCCCAATGAAAGAATGCATGCAGACATGTGCCTAATGGCCCAATGTACATAATAGTCATGAAATGCTTTTTATAACATCATGGTTACTGTGATTTTTTTCATTTAACGGATGCTGATATTGTGATTTTTCCATTTAACAGATGCTGATGTTCAAAGCATTCCCTTAAAGGTTAAGTCTTCTTTAAAGCAGCACGTGTTTATTTTAGTGCCCATATTAACACAGGCTTGATGACAAGCAGACCAAATTTATATTCAGTGAATCTGACTGAATCCAGATGATGTAAGCAGTTTATTGCTGCAGTTTGAGTTTTGGGATTCGTTCCATGTAGATTAATCACCATTTAGATGTAAATGTGATCCACTCTTCATCCTCATGGTGCTCCAAAAATATAATGAGAAAGGTCTCGAGACGTGTTTTTAAAAAGTTGAACTTCTTTTAATTTGAGCACTGGGTATTTGCACACGAGACACTGCAAAAGACGTGAAAAATGAATGCAACAGTCAAACACGTCTGTCTAGCATGTGTTTGCATAGAAAAACAATGGGAAAGTAATGCAGTGGAATTGAAAATGCATTCTATGTCAACAGCCCTTAAGAATGTTGATCTTTACATATTGGGATCTGTAAAATAAATAGTTAGAAAACTATTTATTTTACAGATCCCAATATGTAAAGATTGATCAACAATTATCCGAACCATTAACTATTAATAAAGGGGTCCCTCAGGGCTCTGTGTTAGCATCCTCTTTTCAAACCCTGTTTTCAATTTACATTAATAATATTTGTCAGGTTATCTGTAGTCAGAAAACCTATATTGACTTATATGCAGATTATACTATTTTTATGCTGTAGGATCGTCATATGATGAAGTTTTAAAACAGGCACAGGATAGTTTTAATAATATTCAAGAGGCTTTTAATGACTTAAATCTAGTTTTAAATAGCACAAAAACAAAAGTTTTGTATGTTTGTAAAAAATGGTTGTATGTTTCTCAGGAGATATTAATTCTCCTGCCAGGCTGTTATTGAAAATAAGAACATGTTCTTAATTGACTTGCCTGGTTAAATAAAGGTTAAATAAAAAAATAACATTATTTAACATTTCAATATGTAGATTTTAGTAATGGCACAATAATCTTTGTATGGCCTTTCTCTCATTATCATATCAGCAAAATCAAATATCAGTCATCAAATTCCAACAAAATGTATTGATTTATCAGTACATTAACTAATTTAAATACATATGGATATATTGAATAAAACATCTAAAAAGAAAGTCTTAAATTTGTTTTTAAATACCTTTACAAGCAAAAAAAAAAGAAGAAGAGTACTAACTAAATGCTTGTCTAATGTGATCTTTTCAAATTTGCATAGAGGTATAGAGAGCATTGAGTTCAGAGATTGCACTTCAATATTGGATCTGTTATTATTGTTCTAAATGGTTCTGCATCTTTAGGGCGAGAGAGGTTTTCCCGGACCGCCAGGAATACAGGGCGAGACTGGCTTTGGGCTTCCTGGACCAAAGGTTGGCTTTTATATGGAAACTCTGAGATCAGGAACCCAGTGAACTCATATCTGTGATCATAACATGTGTTTTCTCAATCTGTAGGGTGATGTGGGGTTTCAGGGCAGAATGGGTCCTCCTGGGCCTCCTGGGCTTGGCGAGCCGGGCCAACCGGTAATTATTCTCACACTGGTTGCTATTGACATTGAACACATTGTCATATTAACCTCTATAATCTTGTTTACTCTGAAGGGGCCACAAGGGCCGCAGGGTTTGCCAGGAGAGAAGGGCCCTCCAGGAGAGGGTTTACCAGGACCAAAGGTAAACTTGTCATTGCACACAGTTCATAATTTTTAGAATGCAGTGTGCGTGAGCCATATCAAGGTCATGAGGCGGTTTAATATGTTTTTATTTAAGTTGTGTCTTGTGTGCAAGGTTTATATCAAAGAACCTATTGAAATGTCTGAACTTTGTAACCTCTGACCTCAATTAATTTTCTGAGTGATCCAGCATTCTTTCATCTGTTTTTATTCAATAAAGGAACATAATCGATCTTGCTGTTGTTTGACTCTGTATCTGAAAAATGCAGGGTGTGTCAGATATATTTATGCATTTGGCAGATGCTTTTATGCAAAGCAACTTAAAGTGCGTTCAGTAAATGTGTTGCCTGGGAATCAAACCCATGACTTTGGCGTTGCTAGCGCTGTGTTTTACCAGTTGAGCTTCAGAGGTTTGTTGACACAGTGCAGAATGAGATTTTAAATTGTGTTTTTGTTAAGGCTTAACTGTTTTAATTACTAAAACACCCTGGCAAATATCCAGATAACGTACAATGGAAAAAATAGACTTTGAAGGCATTTCTTTGAACCAAATTTAACTCAAATTGCTTGTAAATTTCACAAATAATTACAAAGAAATAAAAAGTAACATGAAATTTTGAAGTAGAAACACTAAAATAGTATTTTCTTTTAAAATGTACTATTTTCAAATGTTTTATTTACAACTCGTACAACAAAAAAACATTTTTTACAGTTTAGCATCATGGCAGAGTTTTTCTTCAGAAGCTGTTATGCATAATGTCTTAATGGTTCTAAAATAGGCTTCATTTTCTCTCTACAAATATTGCTTTTTCTTTTGATCTTAGGGTGAATTGTGACCTGCACATTTTTTTGACATTCACCAGGATAAACAATTACAACAACAAAAATATATGAAAATGGGATGGCAATGCATGGTATAAACATGATGGTTTAAACTTTTGTCTTTTACAGGGTGAGAGGGGTCTGGAGGGGCAGAGAGGACCCAGAGGACCAGTAGGTCCTGGCATTAGAGGAGACAAGGTAAAACATTCAGATCGATTAAATGAAATTAGATTTTTAGTGAACTAATCACTTTCTTTTTTGAGCTCATATCTCATGAGCGGGTTGATTATACCCTAAAGCTGCTCTATACTAGATGTTTGGTTTTCTTTCAAAACTTTTAAAAATTAATTAGAAATGTTCTTAGCTCTGAAAAGTTTTAGTTGTAACTATTTGCATAATTAGCTTTATTATACCATTCTCTGTGGCTTTGTGAAGGAACATGTCACAGCATGCAGTGCAATCAGTACTTAGCCTGTGGCCAAGACATATAAAAATATCAATGCTGTATCTATTACACATTCCTTTTAATAACTAGATTGTACATGAGCTGACAGATTTGCTTATGCTTGACTCTGAGGTGTGTAATTGCAATAATATATTTGTGTTTATTGTCTTAAGGGTGATATTGGTCCTCCTGGTCTTCAAGGACCAGTGGGGCTTCCTGGAGCAGGGATCCAAGGAGAGAAGGTGCTGACAAGCTTATGATCTGAGCATGACGTAAAAATGTACATCCATGCATTGTAGGATATGCTTGTTTTAGGGTGTGGAAGGACCACGTGGACCCCCGGGAAGCAGAGGCCCAGTGGGTGAGGGCTACCCTGGACCAAAGGCAAGAGTTTCCCATCATGCTATAACCAATGTCACAACTTCAAATAGTAAAAGGGTTGGATAAACATTGTCTGATAACTTATGAAATCATCTGAATGTTTACAAATGTGCTTTTGAAGGGTGATCAAGGTTTACCAGGTGAGATCGGTGAACCGGGAGAGAGAGGAGCAGGCGAACCGGGAGCTAAAGTAAGTCATCTTCACGTTACTCTTAATGAAAAGTCAACATGAATCAGAATTCACTCTACTGTCTTTCTTAATTCACACTCTTGCTCGATTCATCAGTATACGTTCTTTCAGAGAAAAAAAGTTGGTCTTTTATCAAAATGTAATTTTTATGATCCAATCAAGTCCCATCCTACATTTTTCTCTTTGCATATTTATTGAAATATGATATTATATAAGATATAGTAAGTATGTAAGTTAAATGGATTGCAATGTTGACATGATCTTTTAAGTAGAACTAAAACATTTTTGTTAATTAAAATGAAGCTGAAATAAAATATAATAAATATTAGATGAAAAAATTGCTGAATTTTAAGTTGAAGCACTAAAATTACTGGAGATGAATAAAAACTAAAACTGAACAAAAACTAAAATTTAAATAAAATCAAATTAAACCTAAATGACAATATTAAAAAAATTAATAAAAAAAAAAAAACTACAATTAAAATGAAAACAAAATACAAAAAATGAAAACAGAGCACACAGAAAATAAAAATTCAACATATTATTAAAAACTAATAGTATATAAATTGCGCTAAAATAACTGCTACATGTGTAAAATCATTACATTCTTTCTGATGAAGCTTCAGTAGTTTTGCTGGTTAAATTAGTTAAGCATCCTACTGAAGACACCAGGTCATAGCAACCTATTATAATGATTATAACTGCCAAGCTTTGACCAGCTAGAAACCATATAAAACTAGCACCACTTTTTTTTCCATAATTTGAATAATTAATTAATGATTAATATTTGAATTATTCTGTGAAGGGGGAACCTGGTGCTCCAGGGTTATCAGGATTACCAGGTTTACCAGGAGAAGATGGAGCTCCAGGGCAGAAGGTACCAGGCACACTTTCATCTCATGAATCATTTCAGCCGAGACTTAGTTAGCATCAGCACCTTAGAAAAGGCCACACACATTCATCACTGTGTGTATTTCAGGGAGAACCAGGAGCCCCTGGGTTGAGGGGCCCTGAAGGAACAGCAGGAGTGGGCATCCAGGGTGAAAAAGTATCTCTTTTACTATTCTCTCATATTAAACTTTATAAAATCATCTTAAAAACCTATCAAATTAAAACTAAAGTTTTGAGTGTGAGATTTCCATACATGTCAATCTTCTAACTTCCTGTTTCATTGGGGTCTTTAACTGTGAACACCAACTTGGTGCTTATTGATGTAGTGTTTTGTTAATGTAATATTGTTTAGGGTGATCAGGGTCAGCGGGGAATCCGTGGGTTAGCAGGGCCACCGGGAATAGCCGGACCCTCAGGGTCAAAGGTGAGTGCCTAGTTCTCAGCTGTGAATCTGGAATATTTTGTCTTTTGCTACATAGACATTATATAACATCTTGTATAAAATTTCCTTCTGTTCTTTGTTAATGTCTTTGTAGGGAGAGCCTGGCACCCCTGGGAGACTGGGATTACCTGGACTACTGGGACGTGCTACAACAGGACCAAAAGTAACAGCTTTTTTATTGCAATCTGGAAATACAAATGTTTGGGTATTTGTAATATAAAACAAAAAAAGTTAGTTTTCACAAGTCACTTTCTGACTATTTTTCCGACACACTATTTCCCTGTTTAATACTGTAAAGCTGCTTTGACACAATCTGCATTGTAAAAAGCGCTATATAAATAATGATGACTTGACTTGACTTTTGGACCCCACAATATATGTGCAAAAAACCCTTTAAATGCACATTATGTCTGTAAAAAAGCATTGTAATGTTTCATTGTAGGGTGACGTAGGCCCGCCAGGTCCATCTGGTCCAATAGGAGAGACGGGATATGGACTTCCTGGACCAAAGGTTCATTTAATTCTTAATTATTGTTAATACTCTGACAACAGATTAATAACATGGGTTTATTTTAGTCTTGATTAAACATCAATGGATTGCTCATGCTTTGTTTCTCAGGGTGATCGTGGTGACCCAGGTCCTTCTGGTCTAAGTGGAGCAAAAGGGGATGGCTATCCAGGTCCCTTAGTGCGTAAAAAAAGGGCTCTTATTAAAAACCATTCATGATCATGACATCATTCTGTAATGAAGTTCTTGTAATTCACCATGAAGTCATATTTTGTTGTTGCGGTGTGTGTTATTTGTTTGCAGGGGCCTCCTGGTCTTCCTGGTCTTCCAGGAGAACCTGGTCCAGAGGGCATAGGGATACCTGGACCAAAGGTGTGGACTGTTCTTATGCCGTGTCACCTAAAGCAGATCACCTGTATAAAAATATTATCATCAAATGAGGTGTAAACACAGATATTTTATCATGACTGTGTCTCAGGGCGATATTGGCTTCAGAGGTTTACCGGGCCCACCTGGACCTCCAGGGGAAGGACTACAAGGACCACCTGTATGTCACCAAACACAGACGCTTGTTAATGATATCGTATTTAAGCCCTTGTCAATCTCATTCAGCCCTTCTTAGCCTTGATTTAAGACAAATTATGAACAGATTCATGAGAGCTCCTCGCCATATTACAAAAGGAAACATTTGTGTGTGTGTGTTAAAGAACATATTTAAAAGTCTTCACAGTTGCACCAAAACGTTTTTAGAATATGAATATTATGTTAAAATAATATTTACACTACCATTCTAAGGTTCTTTTTTGAAGAAATTAGTACTTCTATTTAGCAAAGACACATTAAATTAATCAGAACTAAGACTTGTATAATTTTATATAACATTTATTTTATTTATTTATTTTGAACTTTCTATTCATCAGACAACCCTGAGAAAAAATGTACCACTTTTCAAGATTGATTATAATCAGAAATGTTTTTTGAGCAGCAAATCAGCATATTAAAATGATTTCTGAAGGATCATGTGACACTGAAGACTGGAGTAATGATGCTGAAAATTCAGCTTTGATCACAGGAATATATTACATTTTAAAATACATTACAATAGAAAAAAGTTATTTTAAATTGTAATATTTCACAATTTTCCTGTTTTTACTGTATTTCTTAGCAAATAAATGGAGCCTTGATGAGCAGAAGAGACTTCTTTCTGGAACTAAAATATCTAACACCAAACATCTGAACGTTAGAGTATATTATATATTTTGATATTACAAAAAAATTGAAGTGGCATCTGCAAACAGATGTGGCTAATTGTTCCCACAATTAATAATTTGAAATGTGTTTTGCCATTTTATTTATTTATTTAATAAATGGCACTTAACTAATGCAATGCCATGTTCAGACAAGTGTGGCTTATGTATCCAAATACTTCTGGGATAAAACATTTCTTATATTATCTGTAAAGTATTTCTTCTAATATCTGTGATCCCTGTAAAACAGTGCATTCTGTCTCGCTGAATGAACTTCCCATTGAATACATGCCATTCCTCAAAGGCTTCATCAATTATCACATCATCTTAACACCACATTTATCATCGTACTGTATCCGTGATCATATGTTACACACACACACACACACACCTGCTCCAAATCTTTTACATATGTGTCCAACAAATCCAGATAATCCAGTAACATAAATGTCATTCCAGATGTTCCAGTGCTGCTTTTATCTCAGCACCAATGAATCTGAATGTGTTTCCCCCTTTGATTTGTGTTAATAATCTGTCTGTGAACAATACAGGGCAACATGGGAAGACCAGGACCTCCTGGACCGACTGGGCCACCAGGACAAGGCCTACAGGGTCCAAAGGTGAGACACTGGCATACACAAATCATAAAGAGTTGACCATGCATATATATGTGTTTCAAACTTAACAGCACAATCTTGTACACTATTGCAGGGTGATCAGGGGTCACAGGGTGTGAGCGGGCCAAGAGGACCTCCTGGAGAAGGAATGCCCGGGTCAGAGGTCTCAGGTTTTGTTATATATTCTGTGTTGTGATTGAATATTCGTACAATGTATTAATATGAAGCCCATTTGTGGTTTTCAGGGGGATCGTGGAGGTCAGGGTGAGAGGGGGATGAAGGGGGTTAAAGGTGATATGGGAGATCCTGGCATTCCTGGACAAACAGTTAGTAAACTAACCTCATCGTTAACAGAGTTTCTAGTTTCAAGTATTTCAAATCAGTCATAATGCATATGAGTTTCTATTTCATATAGGATGCAGCCTAAATAGTAGGCAGGCAGTAAGAGGTCATTTGGAAAAATGTGGTGGGGTGCAATGAAATAAATGATCTGGTTCAACAGCATGCAACGAAATACACATCCCAATAAAACGCATAAAAAATCAGATGTTTAAAACAATTGTAGTAAAAAGCAAACATTTAAGAACAACAAAAATCAGTAAGAGCTTCTCACCATTATATAAAAGCAAAAAGCAACTATGCCACATAGGCAAATATCTCTGGATGTAATTTCCTTTTTTGTATATTTTGAGATGCATTATAACTCCCTTACTCACATGTTTCAGGGTAGACCAGGAATCAAAGGAGAATCTGGACTAACAGTGTGTCTTTTACATCTTTCACATCATATTACAACATTCAAATCATAATATGCAGTTTATTCATATATGCATTTTAGCGACTCAGATTATGGTTGTTTTTTTAGAGGGACGATATAATCCGAATGATCCGGGAGATTTGTGGTATGTGTATCCCACATTACATTTGAACATAATTTGCTTTATATACTGTTCAAAATGTTGGGGTTGGTGTGATTCTGTAAAAAAAAATGTTTTTTATGTGTTTTGATTGAAGTCTTTTATGCACACCAAGACTGCATTTATTTGAACAAAATTACAGAAAAAAAACTGTAATATTGTGGAACATTGTTGTTATTGTCACTTTTAATCCATTTAATGCATCCATGCTGAATAAGAGCATTAATTTCTTTAAAAAATATTACTCACCCCAAACTTTTGAATGGTAGTATGTAAAGTTCATTAAATGTCCTGTGCTGTTTTTCAGGCTGTGGAGTCAAGTGTAAAGAGCGTCCCATGGAGCTGGTGTTTGTGATTGACAGCTCTGAAAGCGTCGGGCCTGAAAACTTTGAGATCATCAAGGACTTTGTGGCTGCATTAGTTGACAGACTCACCATAGACCGTAATGCCACCCGAGTCGGCCTCGTTTTGTACAGCTTAGAGGTCCAGCTTGAGTTCAACCTCGCTCGCTACATGACCAAACAAGATGTCAAACAAGCGATACGCAGGGTTCACTACATCGGCGAGGGAACATACACCGGCTCTGCCATCCGCAAAGCAACTCAAGAAGCATTTTACAGTGCAAGGACTGGGGTGAGGAAGGTTGCCATTGTCATCACAGACGGACAAACAGATAAACGGGAGCCTGTGAAGCTGGAAATCGCTGTCAGGGAGGCGCATGCAGCCAATATTGAGATGTACGCTCTGGGGATTGTTAACATTAGTGATCCCACACAGGAAGAGTTTCTCCAGGAGCTCAATCTCATTGCGTCGGACCCTGACAGTGAGCACATGTTCTACATAGACCACTTCAACACCTTGCCAGGTAATAGATTCAGCAAACTTGAGGCTGAATGCCAATTCACATACTTCTACTATATATGAATGTACTTCTCTGGTGATGGCAAGATGCATAATTGAATACTGTACATATGGAGGTATGCATAAGCTGATAGATGCTTTTTCCCACAAAATTGTGTATTTATGGCATGTTAACCAGCAGGGGCATGTTTTTTAACATCGCTTTTTATCTTGACTCATTAGTTGATTGCACTGCTAAAAAGTCAAGACATTTTACATTAACCTTAATATATTAAATATGCTAAATATTTACATTTTTGTATAAGCATAACTGCACTTCAACAGCTTAAGCAACTGTTTCCAACATGGATAATAAATCCGCATATTAGAATGATTTCTGAAGGATCATGCGACACTGAAAACTGGAGAAAGATGCTGAAAATTCAGCTTTGCATCACATGAATAAATTACATTTTGAAGTATATTAAAATAGAAAACCATCATTTTAAATTGTAATAATATTTCACAATATTACAGTTTTTTTTCTGCATTTTTAATCAAGTAAATTCAGCCTGGATGAGTGTATAAGACTTCTTCAAAAAAACATTAAAAATCTTACTGATCCCAAACTTTTCAACGGCAGCGTAAATATTAATATCAATAAATTATAGTTTCTATATTTAATAATAATAATAGTTGACTTTTTATTTATTTATTTAAATAAATCCAATGATAGGCTTAATCTGGAATTGATCAGATATTTACATTTGGGTAGAATTAAATATCTAATAATGCTTTTCTCTCTTTTTAATTCACTCTTATACAGCTCTGGAGTCCAAACTGGTCAATCAGCTCTGTGAGGATGAAAATGGAGCACTTATCTTCAGTCGCATTAATGGTTTTGAAAATGGATATGGTATTAATGGCAACCGCATCAATGGTAATGGCAGGTACAGTTATGGCACAAATGTAAATCAAGTCCACAGAGAGAACACGGGAACACACTCTGGGATGAACACTGTCACTCATAAGAGCGGCAGAGGAGGCACGTTTGCTCCAACAGCTGGTCCAGACATTAATGAGGTTAGTGCACTGATGGTCTCAACAGTGACCAGACACTTTCTTGGTGGCCTTGGTTTAGTAATATACTTCAACTTCGATTTTGAGTGTTTTTTGCATTTCTAATGTTCACTCAGGAGGTTAAACTTGCACCTGAGACACCAGACACAAACACTTCAGAGCAGAGCAGCGGTAGAGGAGATACTCCAACAGTCACTGGAACATCCACACACAGCAGACCTTCATCAGGGACAACATCATCATCATCATCATCATCATCAACGTCAACAACTGTGAACACGTCAACCTCAGTGCGATATATACCAGCACCACGTCCACCATTACCTAAAGGTAAAAACATAACACACTCACTAATACACGACAAAATACACTACTGTTCAAAAGTTATGGATCTATAAGATTTGTATTTATTTATTTATTTATTTTTAAAGAAGTGAATACTTCTATTCAGCAAAGATGCATTAAATTAATAAAAAGTGACAGTAAAGACTTAAATATTATTACAAAAGATTTCTATTTTTTACTTGAAAAAAGTATGGTTTCTGCAAAAACAGCAAGCAGCACAACTGTTTTCAACTGATAATAATCAGAAATGTTTCTTGAGCAGCAAATCAGTATATTAGAATGATTTCTGAAGGATCATGTGACACTGAAGACTGGAGTAATGATGCTGAAAATACAGCTTTGATCACAGGAATAAATTAATAACATTTTAAAATATGCATATTTCAATAGAAAACGTCTCGGTTATGTATGTAACCCTCATTCCCTGAAGGAGGGAACGGAGATGTCACTTCAGTATTGACCGACGAATTGGGATCTCGCTTAGAGAGAACAATCTACTTCAAGTGTAACTAAACGAGCCAATGCACATTGGCATGCGATGATTGCATCCAGCTGCCGCTGATTGCAGCGCGAGTATAATAAGGCAGCAGGTGCAACATATACTCAGGTTTTCGCTGAGCCGCCGACCCTGTGACCCGGCCGCTCAGCAGTGGTACAGCAGCTGTGGCGACAGGATGTGACGTCTCAGTACCCTCCTTCAGGGAACGAGGGTAGGGCTGGGCAAAAAATCGAATGCGATTTTCATCCGAATCTCGTCAGTAAAGCCGCTTCTGGTGATTAGTAGTAAATCTCCAGCATGTGCTTTCAGATGGAGCGGCATTTACTACACAGAGCCGTAGATAACTGACAAGCTACACAAAATTGCATTCAAAATCGCAGGCGATTCATTGCCGATTTTGAACGCGATTTTGTGTAGCTTGTCGGTGAACTACGGCTCTGTGTAGTAAGTGCCGCTCCATCTGAAAGCACGTGCTAGAGATTTACTAGTAATCACCAGAAGCGGCTTTACTGACGAAATGCGCATGAAAATCGCATTCGATTTTTTGCACAGCCCTAAACGAGGGTTACATATGTAACCGAGACACCTTTCAGTTGGTCACTCTGAACGTCACGTCGGTATTGACAGACGAACTGGGATCCCTAACAAAGCGCCACGAATGCTGCCCTTTCCAGTGTCCTGGGGCTCGCAACAAGAAGACCAGTCACTGTTGTCGTTGCACTACCCACTCAGTGAGATTGGATAACACTGGGAAATAGGTATGTGCAACAGCAATCGAGTACTCGGCCGTGACAGTGACCATCGATCATGAAAACGATGATCATGGAAAAATTTTATTTTATTTTTTTCTGATTGGTTATAGAAGCACTTTGGGCGGCACCCTGAGCTCTGATTGTTTAGCTTGCAGCAGCATGCTGTCCAAAGTATAGACATGAGAAGAGAGAAGCATGGCTTTGAAATCACGTAGTGATGTCTGGGTTAGCTACATACATATCTGATTAATCTAATATAGGATGCATTGGGATATTAAAGGTGCAATAGGCGATTTGGTTCAAAAACATTTTTTGTTATGCTGGTTGAAAGTCTCTTCACATCTCGATAGCAATCATTAAGTTAAGTGGTCTAAATGTATGACTTGGACACGGGGGCGTTCAGGAAGCAAAGCTTGTCAGTCTCCCTCATGTCAGCCAGACACAGCCAGAGATGTCGCTCCTGGACAACCATCGTGGACATTGCACGACCCAGAGACCACACAGTGACCTACGTCACATGGAGCACGAGGTCAGTAGCAGTCCAAAGTTCCTTGAGAACCTCTGGGTCATGACCACCCTCATGCAGGTCCTTCAGTGCCTTGGCCTGATGAACCTGCAGTAACGCCATGGCATGTAGGGCAGAGGCAGCTTCTCCACAGACCGCATAAGCACTGCTGGTCAGGGCCAACGAGTACCTACAGGCCCGGAAGCAGAGGGATGGCTTGCCTCGCCAGGTGGCATCGGTGTTTGGACACAATTGCATCGCAACTGACCGCTCCACCGGAGGGACTTCCTTATACCCCCGCCATCAAGGGTGGTGAGGGAGGATGAGCCACCTAGCCGGATTCTGGCAGTGAAAGGTGCCATCCACGACCTGGTACGCTCATCATGCACCTCTGGGAAGAAAGGCATCAGGGTGGGGCCCTGAGAACCAGCACGAGCCACCCCAAGAATTCAGCCTTGAGGGTTCGGGACACGGTGGAGGCTTCCAGTCGAGCCCAACCCTCTTGGCGGCCCAGGCAAGCATAGCCACCATTTCTGGATCCAGCATTGCTGGCCACCCAGAAGGCGGCAGCGCAGCCGAATCATCCTCTCCAGAAAGGTCTGGCTCACCCTCCGATGCAGCATTGGATATCCGATTGTCGGGGGGAGCACCGAAGGATATGAGTGGTACCCCTCGGGAGGGCCCAATTCCTCACCGTCAACATAAGACCAGCCAGGCGACTGCCAGAAGTAGCGCCCCTTTGGCTTCTGCCAGGAGGAACACTAGATCTAGGCAGAGGCACTGGAACCCTGCCCCTTTGCAGGCAACTCCGGGACGGTCATTCTCCCGCAATGAGAGCACGACTCGTCCACAAAAGCTGCCTCAGCGTGCTTAACGGCCAGACACGTGAGGCAGCGATCGTGACCATCACCCAGCACCAGGTAACAACCGCATCCAGAAATGCACGGGTGGAAAGGCATCTTTAAAAAGAAGCGTCTTTAAAAAGACTTCCACCCGTGAATGCTCTTTTAGGATTTGCTCTTTTAATGTGCTGAAGCGCACAGGGGAGATGGCCGCCTGTAACACAAACAGGGGGTAGTGCAGCCTGATGTGTGCAACCTACTCGACACGGGAAACCACCACCGCTGAAGCGCCGTACCGCTAACACCAAGAGCTCCAAAAAGCTCGCTGAGCTCGTTCAGTCTTCTTCTCTCAGTAGAGTAGTCAGGAGCAGAACGATTTGATCGCTCGGCTCCGAAGCGAAAAGCTGACTATGCGTTGCACCTGCTGCCTAATTATACTCGCGATGCGGTCAGCGGTAGCTGGATGCAATCATCGCATGCCAATGTGCATTGGCTCGTTTAGTTACACTCGAAGTAGATTGGTCTCTCTAAGCGAGATCCCAATTCTTCGGTCAATACCGACGTGACATCAAGAGTGACAGACTGAAAGGGAACTACAGCGACCGAGAGGGGACATTTTCGGTTCACTTAGTTTTGTTGTGGCCACGACACTAACTCGTGGGAACGTCATATTAACTCGTGGGAACGTGATAAAATGACGTGGCGATGAGATAATGTTGTCAAGGCAATGACATTCTTATGTCGTGGCCTCGAGATCCTATGTTCAGGGAACTACATATTTTTATTGTTGCCATGAATTTAATGCGTAAACAAACCTGCGTGACCATAGCAACCTGATATTATCAGAGATGGATTTATTAATATTTTATTTTGAATTAAGAAATTATTATATTATAGAAATTAAAACATTATTAAATTATTATATTAATTATATTAAGAGGCCTAGGCTACCGGACTGCATTACACGCGATATAGTCAGCATTTGAATTAAGTTTATCATGAATAAGTGTTACATACAGTACATAAAAGAAAAAATAGGCCTACAAGAAAACATTTTTATCCATCCCACAGTCTTGTAAGTCCATTAACTGATCATCTTTTTCCGTAATATTTTGTATATTTTTATTATTAGATTTTTTTATTGGTTATACTGTATATAACCTGTGGGGGGGCATCACTAGAAAATTATTACAAAGGACTACAAATAAAGCATTTTAGTCATTTTATGACATTTACTTGCATCTTTTTTTCTTAAGAGTGCAAAGTCTGCTGCATGCACAGGATGTGTGATATCACATGCATTCCAGATCATCTTGTCATCAAATTGCCTATATTATCAGCAGTCTTTTATTGAAATATCTGATGAACAAAACAAAAAAAATCTATAGTTGAAGATTCACATAATTAAGAAAACTCAAGTAACCTAGAGAAATATCTGAAGATTTTGTTCACCAGACAAGATATGAAATATATGTAATCTTGTAAACCTATTTTTTTTTTTTAAATCTATGTTCAGAAGTTGTATCTCTGGACCCCCGTTGTGAGCTGATCCTGGATCAGGGCCCTTGTCGGGACTATAACATCCGCTGGTACTACGACCGGCAGGCCAAAGCCTGCGCTCAGTTCTGGTACGGAGGCTGTGACGGGAACCGTAACCGCTTTGACACAGAAGAAGAGTGCAAAAAGACTTGTGTTGCTGTGAGAGCAGGTAACATACACACTTGAATTATACTTTTCTTTAGTAAATGAAAATGGACACCAGTTCCTTCCATATAGTCACATTCTTCATTCCTTTCTTTGCATTTAGGAGGCTGATATCCATTATGGATACTTTTCCTTTTGTCTGTAATTCCTCACACTCCAATACGATGGACCTGCACTGAAATACACAAAGTATATGAAAAATGGGTTGGACAGGAGATTTCAATGAGAGTAGCTAGTTGATGAAGCACAGTACTTTTCATATCACAACCTGCAGAACTGTGAAGAAGCAATACTGTAATATTGTACACTCATAGTTACACAACATTCTTGAATTGGCATTAATGTAATAAATGAAATGTAATCTTGATTTTGAGAACTAATGTTGTCAGTATCAGTGTAATAAAGCTTGTCATTTTGTATCTTGTACTTTTTGTAATAAAATATTTTGTACTTGGATAAATGGCCTGGCTGTTACGCCGTCAACAAATCCAGATGTTCTGTAATCTCATGTTCACTAAATCATCATATGTTCAGCTCAAGATGGATTTGTGCTGGTTATAGTAGAGTTATAATGAGGTCGCATTCCCATTCATCTCAATGGCAGTCCAGGAAGTGCATGACCTGCATCGTGCCATTTTATTAATGTTACCAATTACTTATTACTTATAGGTAAAAGGTCAAGTTTTACACCATTATGGGGGGCAAAAAATATAAAAAAAAATGTAATTACTGCATGAAATACCTTGATTTGTTTAAATATAGTAGGGCTTCAATTTAATCAACCCCAAACTTCTGAGAAAACAGCATCCAAAATAAAAACCTAAATGCTGAATAAACCTCAGCTAACCTCTATCAATTAAACTGGTATGTTTTTCACTCGTGCTTGTCATTAATATCTCCTCATGCTTCCTCTTTAACAGTCTCACACATCTATCCCTTATGCTTTGACTTAAATTGCACATGTCTCCTTCCACCAACACCTTCCTGCCTGCTTTAATTTTAGTATCACTGTCTAGTGTGACTGACGCTCTCCTCTGAGCCCTGAGATCATTCTAGAACCATTTGCTAGGGAGAACATTAAATCCTGCATATTCGTGATGGTCAATACACTCTTCTGAATAGCACTACTGATGCTCAAATTATTGGTCTGAATTGTATTTATAATGACCCCGAATGCTGTTTAACCAGGAAGTAATAATCTTTGATATAATTTGTACATTTGAGGTTTTTGTTTTTTAGCCGTTTTCCACACAGTCAGACGAATGTGCAAAAATTGTACCTTTAGAGGTACATCTGGTGTAGTATCTTTAAAAGGTCAACTTTGCACCTTATCTACCCCTAAAAGGTGCATATTAGTACCTTAGTATGGGTAAAATAGGTACAAAGATGTCCCTTCGAGGGTGACTTTGAAGCTGCTGTATCCCTAAAGGCAAACTTTTGCACTATTTTTTGAGAGTGCACAAGTATGACCAGCTACACTAAGAGTTTCGTCTCCTCCCAGGATCTGACGCATGAATAATAAAGTTTGACTCAATGCCCCGAGTGCTTGATCGGGGCATTGGCAGCTGAAAATGGCTCATCACCTGTTGTAGTCGCAGCTGTCTCCAAACACTGCTAGTGAACCCTTCATTTATGTGGGGAATTGAAGTCAAAGACACTTGCATAAAAACTTGCAGACAAAGTATAGAAGAATAGTCTGGGATTGGTAAAACTTGCCGACTCATGAGTCTCCTCAGAGCTTTATGTGTCCTGTCCCGTCGTGACAGCTGCTGTCTAGAATGGCCATCACACTGGGATCCCTTTCTTCACAACTAGGATTGAGGGATGACAGAGGCAGTGGGGGTGGACAAGAGCGGGAGGGTTATATTTAGAACGGCAGGATTAAATAACAGTCCCTTCACTCTGGGAATCTTTTCAGCACTCTGTCCTTTTCCAGCCTGGCCGGTGTGGCGAGCAGACCTGGAGCCACCTTCTCCGCCTTTTCTTCTCTTATCCGTAAATTCCCATCTTGAAACGTAACAGCATGGATCCTAAAGCCATGAAGGAGGAGCTACGGCTGTTCCAGAGCACCTTGCTTCAGGATGGACTGAAGGAACTTCTGAACGAGAACAAGTTTGTTGACTGCACTTTGAAAATCGGCGACCGCTGCTTTCCCTGCCACCGCCTGATCATGGCCGCCTGTAGTCCTTACTTCAGAGAGCTCTTCTTCTCTGAAGACGGCAAGGAGAAGGAAAGCGGCAAGGAAGTGATTCTGGATGACGTTGATCCAAATATCATGGATATGATCATCCAGTATCTGTATTCCGCTGAGATCGATTTGACAGACGACAATGTTCAGGAGATCTTTGCAGTGGCGAACCGATTCCAAATTCCCTCGGTGTTTACAGTATGTGTGAACTATCTCCAGAAGGAGCTGTCGCTGTTTAATTGTCTCGCCGTCTTCAGGCTTGGCCTGGTCCTCGGCGTTCCCAGGCTCGCCATAGCGGCACGCGATTTCATCGCTGACCGATTCGAAACCGTGGCGGCTGAGGACGAGTTCCTTCAGCTGGCACCTCACGAGCTTATGGCTCTGATTGGTGGAGACACGCTTAACGTGGAGAAGGAGGAGGTTGTGTTTGAGTCGGTGATGAAGTGGGTGCACAGCGACAAGGCCAAGCGCGCCAAGAGTCTGGGTGAAGCGTTCGAGTGCATCCGCTTCCGCCTCCTTCCCGAGAGGTACTTCCGGGAGAAAGTTGAGACCGATGACATCATCAAGGCTGATCCAGAACTCTTGAAGAAGCTGCAAGTCATCAAAGAAGCCTTCGGAGGAAAACTCCCCGAGAAGAAACCCAAAGAGAAGAAGGAAGGAGAGGCTGGAGCAGAGGAGGAAGAGGAGCTGCTGCCGGGTTACTTGAACGATAATCGTAGACTGGGGATGTACAGACGAGACCTGATCCTCATGATCAATGACACGGCCGCTGTGGCGTACGACGTGGCCGAGAATGAGTGTTTTCTGGCTGCCATGGCAGAGCAGCTGCCGAAGAACCATGTGAGTCTCTGCACCAAGAAGAACCAGCTCTTTATCGTCGGTGGCCTGTTTGTCGATGAAGACAGCAAAGAGTCTCCTCTGCAGTGCTACTTCTACCAGGTACAAAATGACTTTAAAACTAGGTGCTGGTGTGATGGTAACCACACTAGGTTTCTTAAACTAGCTTTACCAGAAGGGATCTCCATGGTCTTCACCAAGAGGATCATGCTGGTCCACTAGCTAGACCAGGACCAGCATGGAATCTTTATGGTCTTTTCATGGGTCTTTGAACTGAACTTAAACCATACTGTAAGGTATTATGGGAAATTATTTGTCATTTTAAAACTATTCTATCATATCCAGCTGGACAGTATTGCTGCTGATTGGAAGGCAATGCCTCCTATGCCCAGCCCTCGATGCCTGTTCAGTCTGGGGGAATGTGAAAACATGCTGTTCGCCATCGCTGGCAAAGACCTGCAGACCAACGAGTCCCTCGACTCCGTCATGTGTTATGACACTGAGTATGAATTCAAAAGCTTTGTCTATTCAGCTGCTGATTCTGCTCTTCACACTTGACTGCTGGCTCGGATGTGTGGCTTCAATAGTATTTCATGTCATTGCAGAAAGATGAAATGGCACGAGACCAAGAAACTTCCTCTGCGTATTCACGGCCATTCAGTTGTCTCACATAACAACCTGGTGTACTGCATCGGAGGAAAGACAGATGACAAGTAAGAGTATGCTTGTGTGTGTGTGTGTGTGTGTGTGTGTGTGTGTGTGTGCAACTCAGATCAGAGGTGCTCAGGAACATATGGTGTAGTTTGCAGCTGTCTGTGATCCATCAAAGTTCCTCAAAAATCTTCTGTACAATGTGACACTTAAAGGGCTCTTATCATGAGGAACAATGATGTATTCATCTTTTCAGATAAAACAGCTTGATGAAACTTCCTCTTCAGTCCTAAGCATTTATTGGCAGCTATTACTAAACACCAGAAGAACTAGTAAAAAGTAAAGAAAACTTGCCAAACTGTGCACTGTTCTTGTCTGTGTAGCACCTACAGCTCTGCATGTTTGAAACGAGTGGCTTAAGTTTATATTGATATAAATACATAATAGAAAATTATATAATTATACATTGTATACGTAGTTAAAAATGAAGAACAGCCCCTTTTAAGTCTGGAAGTCAGATTGAGGTGAAGCACAAGCTACTACATTTTAAAGAAAGATTACAAAACATTTTTATTTAAAATAACATGAGCCAATGGATTTTTCACAATAACAGCAAGAATGTACTAAAATGTCAGTTTTTATTTCATATTCAACAACATAGTCGACAACATTTGGTGCACTATAAATTATTTGATTAAACAAATCTTAAAGTAAATAAATCTCTTTTCTCTCTCTCACAGCAAAGCTCTCAATAAAATGTTCGTGTACAACCACAAGCAGTCAGAATGGCGAGAACTGGCTGCTATGAAGACGCCCAGAGCGATGTTTGGTGCCTTAGTTCATAAGGGAAAAATCATTGTAACTGGGGGAGTGAATGAAGATGGACTCACAGCTTTATCTGAAACCTACGATTTTGGAACAAACAAGTATGATTTCTCACCAGTGTTATTTATATATTATTAAAGTATTTTTTTAAATATTTTGAACTGGCATTTATTTTTATAGTTTTGGTTTTTATTTTCGTTTAAAAAAAAATTTTATGTGCTTTTTTCATTACTATTTTAAATATTTCTATTTAGTTTCCATTTATTTTTATTTCAATTTTATTAATTTTAGCTTTAGGTTTTATTTATTTTTATTTCACTTTTAGTTTTAGTAACTTATTTTATTTCAGTTAGATGCCAATCTCTAATTTAGTTTTCTCAAGTTTTTCATCTAATATTTTAATATTTTATTTTATTTCAGCTTTATTTCAATTAATGAATTTTTTTAAGTTTTAATTTTAGTTAACAATAACAACTAACAAACAAAATAGATACTATGTAATTTACAGGTTTGCTTGTGATATGAAACAATAATATTGTATCTGTACAGAGATGCACCATTCTAGATGTCGTCTTCCTGCACTTATCCGTCTTTTCTGTCATCTCTTCACTGCTTCTGCATGTAAAAATGAAATATGTATATTGTATTACATTAATATTATTTGCTGTCAGGTGGGACACATTCACAGAGTTCCCTCAGGAGCGCAGCTCGGTGAATCTCGTGAGCACCGGAGGAAACCTCTTTGCCATTGGGGGCTTTGCTATTGTAGAGCTGGAGGACAAAAACATCGGACCTTCTGAGATCACTGATGTGTGGCAGTAAGTCATCCCGATTCTGTGTCCAGCTGGTTCTGAAAAGAAAAAAGATTTAAATTAATTAGTCAAGTTCCAAGAAAGTGCCCAGGAATAGCCAGCATAGAACTGAATGTCAATTTATGTATTGACCTGTTTTCTTTCACAGGTATGAAGAAGACAAAAAGACATGGAGCGGCATGCTGAGAGAGATGCGCTACGCTTCCGGATCTTCCTGCGTTGGTATGCGTCTGAATGCTGCCAGGATGCCCAAACTTTAAATCAAACCCTTTTTTTTTTTTTTTATGTGACCCCCTGTGGTCATGTGACCTTTGACCTCGGCACACAGCTGTCTGTGGTTAATTATATCTAGTCTAAAACGACAAGCCAAGGGAACTAACCCCTTTTCATAAGTGTGAAAAAAAGCTTTTGGGTTCCCTAAAGTGTTTTTCTTTTACATTTTAGACAAACACAGTTAATGTGAAATGTGTTTGTACGTGTGTGAACATGAGCCATTTATCATTTCATGCTATGACAGAACCATGTAAGCAAGAACAGGCGCATTTCTGTATTGTTATTATACTGTAATAAAAATAAACTCTAGTTCTCTACTTCAAAAATACTAGGTTACTTTGTGTATGTGCATTTTTTTGTAAAATAAACATTTTTAAACCATATCAACTTGTGTGTGTGTGTTTTTAGCAGATATATTTCTCTGACTGGCTAGTTACATTATTTTAACTGCAACATTTTTGTATTATTATTTTTTTATTTTTTATTTTCAAGTTTACCTATCACAGTGTCTCCATGCGTCCCAATGGTAACACTTCTTTAATAAATATATCACTATTTGATATTGTTTCTATAACCTTTATTAAATTACCAAAATATATATTCATACAGTGTTTGCGGTCAAACTGTCAGGAGAAACATCTGACTGTCTGCAGGTTGGACAAAGGTGTCCGTCAGACTCCAGCAGACACGTTCTGATACCTGACACCAAAAGATTGTCAGAAACAGCCTGTTTGCTTCTAACTGATCTTTGCTTGATCAGACACTCACATTCATCACAGTAGCTGCTCCTGCAGCAGGGAATCATCACAGCATCGGTCAGCAGATCCTTACAGATCAGACACAGCAGCGCGGCAGGAACCGGATCGGATGAGGATGAGGATGGGGATGAAGGCTCATTCTGGGGTGAGAAGGGCGGCTTCTCTTTCTTCCCAATCGCATAGGCATCGCTAAACAGATCAAACACAACATGATTCAAACAAAAGACTTTAACAAACACTAGAACCTGCAGCAAGGGCAAGTACAGTAAACTCACGCATCCATAACGGGAATGACGTATTTCCCACTGCTGTCCATCATGACTCCCTTTCTGTCAGGATCATTCACCTCCACCAGGAAACTACGAGGAATCCCTGCGCATTTCCGTATGTGTTTATGAGGAGCACAACTTTTGTCCTGTGAATTCATGAATGACATTCAAACTCTGACAGACTGACGGGGAAAAGAGCTCAAGTTCACAGCAGCTGTGATCTCTCAAAGCCCAGTTACCCAAGTGCTCGGGCAGTTTTTAATGTGATGTCCAGGAATCCTACAGCGGAAGCAGATGTAGTTTGGTGGAAGCAGTCCGACCAGCTTCATCGCATCACTGATGAACGTCAGAATCATGAGCATCTCTCATACAGTATATCACAGATTCAGTCACTCTCAATGTCTGAACACTCAGCTGCTGGAATAATAGCACAGACTGGACTGGTACATCACAGCTTTGAGTTTGTCCTCCTCTGATGCATTTGCCTCAGCCAGATTCTCAGGAGAGGGAGAGGGAGATGCTTAATGCAGTAAGTCTCTGTGAGAGATGTTTTACATCAAGTCTTCCAGGTCTGTGTTTATGCATTGCTTTGTGGGTTTTTTCCATCTCTGTCTCCAGGTGAGAAAGGAATTGGTAAGACTACCCAGAAACCCTTGCACTACAAAGGAAGTCTGTTCCACAGGATAGTGAAGGACTTTATGATACAAGGAGGAGACTTCAGTGAAGGTACTGCTGTCTTTTTTTAATCATCTATTTCAGGGGTGGCAAACGTCGGTCCTGGAGAGTTTTGCTTCAACCCTAATCAAACATACCTGAACACGCTAATCAAGGTCTGATGGGTTACTCCACAGATTCAGTCACTCTCAATGTCTGAACACTCAGCTGCTGGAATAATAGCACAGACTGGACTGGTACATCACAGCTTTGAGTTTGTCCTCCTCTGATGCATTTGCCTCAGCCAGATTCTCAGTCTGTTTCACAGGCATTTGCATGTTTTAATGTTTAGCACTGAGACTCAAACCTCCTGGAAGAAGCTGCTTGTGTGTCGCTGTGGCTTCACAGTACATGATATTCAGCACTTATTGTCTTCATTACGACACTTCATATGCAAACACTGAAGTTCATTACAGTGCAGCAGAGTGCATTTCTCATTGTTTTCAATACCTTCAGAAGCAGATCCAGTGAAACTGGTGAAGAATCACCAACCTCTATTCAATTGTTTAACTTAAAGGCAAAAACAAAACAAAAGATAAGCATTTATCCTTATAGAGAATGAGAAGTAACCATGGGAACGGATAGCGTATCCTGCTAATATGGCGGCGCCTTCCCGAAATGCAATGCGGAGTGAAAAGATCGTGACGTAACTCCTCATTCTCTGTATGTTTACGCCTGTAGGTGGCGACGAATTAACGTCTATTTTGCTGAGAAAAAAGAGTGAGGGTAAACAAACTTCCAACAAATGACACAAGATTACGTTTAAAATAATTAAAAAAATTAAAATAATGTGTTTACATATAATGACACTCAAGCGAAACGAAACTCCAAATCCTATTTGATTTTTGTCCGTTTTAAGCATCCGTAGTCTCTAGTTCAGGCGGGTTTCTTGAGGGAGACTGGGTTAATAAATAGAATATAACGTATAATTGTTATTTTATTATAAATAATGTTTTTTTTTTGTTTGTTTTTTTTTTATATAAAGTTCTGTTAGTCACTCTGGTCCTACAAAGGAAGTCTGTTCCACAGGATAGTGAAGGACTTTATGATACAAGGAGGAGACTTCAGTGAAGGTACTGCTGTCTTTTTTTAATCATCTATTTCAGGGGTGGCAAACGTCGGTCCTGGAGAGTTTTGCTTCAACCCTAATCAAACATACCTGAACACGCTAATCAAGGTCTGATGGGTTACTCGGAAGCTGCAGGCAGGTGAGTTTTAATTAGGGTTGGAGCTGAACTCTGCAGGGCTGCGGCTCTCCAGGACTGGAGTTCGCCACCCCTGATCTATATCATATGTGTGATGATATTTGACAGAAATGTTTGCCTTAACAGGAAATGGTAGAGGTGGTGAATCTATATATGGAGGTTTCTTTGAAGGTGAGTGTGCTTTTTTCCCCATATAAGCGTGTGCAAATTAATAAAATATTGCCGGTTTTTTTTTTTTAGATTAAAAGTTCCAGAGTAATTGTTTCAAGTCATTTTCTTGAGATGAATCTTTATTCACTTGATTGACCAGGTTCATAAATCAGACTAAATTAAAATGCTTATATCTAGTAATATATCAAAAATGACTTCAAGGGTCAACGTGAAACAGTTTCTACATTTCAGTCAGTGTTATTTTAGTATTATTTATAGGTATTCATTGTATTCATTAAAGTTTTGACTTGGCTTGTATTTCTGTATAATTTGTTTTTGCTTTAAGTTTTTTTTATTTACTTTTATTTGTATTATTTTTGGATTTTTATTTCTATTTAGCTTTAATTTTTGTTTAGGTAATTTTAGAGCTAGTTCCATGGCAACATTTCTAATTTAATCTCTTTCAGTGTAGGTTCATCTAAATATTTATATTTTATTTAGGTGTATTCAAGCACTTTTTAGTAGTTTTAGTTATCAATAACAACAGTGATTTCAATATTCTAACATTTTCTTTGTCTAGATGAGAGCTTCTCAATGAAACATACCAAGGATTTCCTTCTGTCGATGGCAAACAGAGGGAAAGACACCAATGGCTCACAGTTCTTTATGTGAGTCCAGCATACGTGCTTCTAATGGATTGTACCGCCCTCTTTGAAAATGGACGATGATCTGCGACTATCATTTTCTTTTTTGCAGCCTTGATGTAGAATAGATGTCTGTGTCCTAGGGCTGGACAGTAATTCAATATCAATATGTATCGCGATGTAATTCTTTTCAATAACGGTGATATGATTTTTAAACACATTTCCGATATTTCGATATACATTACCAGTTTCCCATGCATTGATTTATTTGTGGCGTTTGACTTCGTTGAATAAACATTAGCACTGCACATTTCAAAATCATAACATGGCGCGGGTGTTTTATATGAATGTATCTCTGAAGGAACCGACTGTCTTCAGAAAAGTTTCGATGACATTTTCATTTTATCTGATAAAGTAGCGTTCATGAGCGGAGCTGCTTTGATTACAGCCGTTACTGGAGAAACCGCAATTAACGTGGGACCCCCCCCGCCATAAAACAAGAAGAAGAAGAAGAAGAAGAAGAAGAAGAAGAAGTTCAGGCGGGTTATGTTTTTACCCAGAATGCACCGCTGATCGTCACGGCGCCATCTTCATAGACCTGCGCGCTGAGGACACGAGAACGACAGTCAATGTTGTTAATGTTCTGGTTAATTTTGGTAGCATTTGTTTAACTTGGATCAAACATGTAAGTTATACTTCCTGTCAAATATATAAATAAAACCTTTCAGTATGATTTGTACAAAGGAAAGATCGAGATGGAACTCTCAATATACTCTGTAATGGACACATGTAGCACGTTAGCATGCTAGTCATTCAATCATTAAAAGGCAAAACGCTGCGCTTTTTGTGCGGGTATGAGCAAATCTAATTACCCGGTTTTCTAAAGCTAAGTAGATAAATATACAGTTTAAACAAATTGGGATACACAAGGTGTGCTGCTGTTGGTGATTTCACGTGTGTTTTAGCACAAGCTGAGTGCAGTGAGACTCAGAAACACATGCAGCAGCATGAAAAATAAACATTTGAATGTCGTTTTATTCTGAAGTTATTTATAATCTCGAAGGTCACACAAAAAACATAGACTTATGAGACATGTTCATGGCCGTAATGTGTTATTCTGCTGATAGGGAAAGTGCCGACACTGACATTGACGCTTAATTAGAGTATGCTAAAAAAAAAATGGCATTAACAGCTATTGACATGAAGGAAGAGGACTTGCTGCATGAGCAATATGAAATACTAATGCTCTATGTGGTGAATTTTTCAAAATATGTCAAACATGTCCAAGTTATAATTCTCAACAAAACCAAAATGTGTTGCCCGTCATGGAGTCTGTTAGTTTGTGTAATAGTGTTGTTACATTAGTGAAACAGGTTTTGATGGTGTGCTCAGTCTGTAAGCTCAGATGTGTTGCTGTAATAGTGTTTGTTGTGTTTTGTGCCTGCAGTGCGATGGGGGTGAAGGCGCAGCGTCCTCGCTGTTTCTTTGACATTGGCATCAGTAATGTGCCAGGTGAGACTATGCACAGCTACTCCTCAGTACCTGAATGGGATACGTTTTCCTTTTTGAAAATGTGGGATGTATTTCCCTGTATAATATTTTTCTCCCGCTGGTTTTCCTTGCTGCAGCGGGCCGAGTGGTCATGGAGCTTTTCTCGGATGCGTGTCCCAATCGATATCGGAATTATATCGTATCGACCGAAATTAAGAAATATATCGTGATATAAATTTTGGCCATATCGTCCAGCCCTACTATGTCCTCAGTGCATTGGTTTGGTCTTGAACTAGATATGAACTGCAAATGATAATGTCTCAGATCGATTTATGGTGTGCATTAATCACTGTTTTTGTGTTCGTTAGATTTATATTTACATTCTGCCTCACTGTTTTGTGTCCCTGACCATAGAACTACAAAACCAACTGCTCACTTGGACGGGTAAGTGTGCAGCACAATGTGTTTATCAATATTTGATAAACAAACTGCTAGGTAACATATATCTTATGCAGTGTTTAACAGGTTTTGTTGCTTTTTTCCACAGAATTCATGTGGTGTTTGGTCAGGTGATCTCCGGCCAGGAGGTGATCCGGATGATCGAGAGTCAGAAGACAGATGCCAACAGCCGACCCTACGCCGAGGTCAAAGTGCTCAACTGTGGGGAACTTGTTCCAAAATCTAAAGGTGATATTGCATATTTTCTTTTCTCATGTTTAAGGCTAGAAATGTTTAGATGTTTTGTTATTAGCTTTACATTATATTTTTGTGTACTTGTGTATAAAAATGCTTCTGGTCTAAGTAGGCTGTCCCTATGAAATCAGTTTTATTTTTTTCCTAATTCATTTAAAAACAAAAACATTTTCTAGATTCTGTATGTTTTTCCTGTTATAATTTTAAATATTCTGTTTTAATGGTCAAGTAAAATTGTATTAATCAAAAAGCATAATTAAACTAATTAAGCTTAGACAATTTAACAAAAATTATATGAAAATTTAAATAATGAATATGTATACACATGCAATTTTTATATTTGATGCAAATTTATTATCAAAAAAAGTGGTAATCAAATGAAGGCATAAAGCATTGTGCCATCCAAAAGTTTTAGATCTAGTCACGGTTCTTCCATCTCATTCATTTTGTGGTGACTTCTACACAAAAGCATTCAGAGTCACTGTCAGTTCATTAAGAATTGACAGAATAACTTATTATTTAATAAGTGAGTACAATCAATGCACATCAATTGTGATCAAACTGTCCAGTGTTATGGATGTCAGTATTTAATGGTCACTATTGGCTCATTTCCACTGAGCGGTACGGGTCAGTACAGTACAGTACAATTCGATTCGGGACCGAACACCCTGATCCAGCTTGCGTTTCCACCGCCAACAGTACCCTTACTTGATAGGCGTGGTGTATGCCGGAAAGTAGCAGTCGACGATAAAGCGCGACAATAGCCGTTTCTCAATATGACATAAAGCACATCTCTAAGACTCAGTTTTAATGAACAATAACAGCCATTATGAAAGTATAAGACAAAAGCAAACAATTCAGTCAAACGTATGCTACAAAGTCAGCGCTGTACTACGGTGAAGTTCAAAATAAATATATAAAGTTAAACATAACTTTGTGCTCAGCCAAAACAATATGACCAGGAACAAATAATAGATTCATGAGACCACGAATGTCTTGTTAAATTTACCCAAAACGAATTGTATCTCATGTTTAATCACTACAGAGACATCAGAGCCAGCGGCAAATGTCGGAAGGACTAGCCGAGCTAAGGCTGCTCTATGCGGATACATGAGCACTGAGCGCCCGCTGATCGCCTGGAGCTCCGAAATCGGCATGGCAAATTTTCAAATAGGCACTTTCTTTATAAACAAACAGCAGATTTTAGTTTTAAACAACTACATTCTCGCCTGAAAAACTCTTAAAACTACATTTCATGACACAATAACAGTAATATTTTGAAAATTATGTGGGTTTTTGGGCAATGACGTTTCACAAGTCCACAAAAACGCATATTTTGAAACGGCTATTGTCTGAGTGAAAATGCAAAATTATAAAATACACTGTTTTATTTTTTTGTTTGCACACTCTGATGTAAATAAGCCCAACACTTATGGACAGCAGAGCGGAACGAGTGAAGGAGAAGCTTTATCCACTTGTAGCACGCAAAAGTGACGATTCTAGTCAACCAATCAACGTTATGAAGTGAGTTTGGCTCCACCCTTTTGGTGGAAAAACGTGGTACGGTTCACTATTTTGGTACCATTCCCAACTTCTGACAATGAAAACGGACATAATTGCGTACCGTACTTTACTGAACCGTACCGCTCAGTGGAAATGAGCCATATGATTACTTGTTACTATCTTGAGAAAAGACTGGATGTTAATCATTCATGCAGAATGTTCCTGTAAACTTTTATTAATAATAAATTACGATTGGCAGTGCAAAAATAGCATCTCAAAGAGATCACACTTAAATTTAATCTTGGTTTAATCTTACTGACGCATTTTTTTCAGTCAAATTGTGATACTGTGTTCTAAAGTATTGCTTCAACTTCTGTCATCCAGCAAAGAAAGAAAAGAAGCATCAGTCATCCAGCGAGAGTGACAACGACTCTTCCTCAGACAGCTCGTCAGAGTCAGAGGAATCAGAGAAGGAGAAGAAACGACGGAAGAAACATAAGAAGGAACACAAGAAAAAGAAAGAACAGAAACACAAGAAGAAAGACAAGAAAGGGTGCAGTTGCCCTTTTATGATGGGAGTCTTTCACCCTACAGCAACGCTTATATAAAATGCTTCAAAATTTGAAGTATTTACTTTCCATGTGTTGAGCACATCATTACTAAAAGCTCCACACAGTACCAAAATGATCACAGACATAATAAGCATTCTTTAAATTTAAACAATTAAAATTTATTCATAACAATATCTGAAATAATTTTGCCAGCCAATCGTTTTTACATTTTTTTTTTTTGTACAAACCATGTTCATTCTTGCTGAAAGTGGTTTTTAATGTAGTAAGAATTTTAACATGTCTTTTTCTGTAGGTCTGATGAGGAAGAGGCTGATCCCCAACCCGTGTCGACCATCCGCCCAGAGGAAGTCCCGGCTATTCCAGAAAACCGCTTCCTAATGAGGCGAAGCCCCCAGAAGGCCAACGAAGAGGAGCAGGGCAAAGAAAAGCAAAAGGAGGACTCTGGGAAAGACAGAGAAAGAGACAGGGAGAGAGAGAGGGAAAGGGACAGGTAGAATGTGATATGTTGATACTTCATTCAGTAATGATGTGGAGGATCATTTGTTGTACAGACATGGATGAAATGCTTATGTTGTGAGATTTTTATATTTTGCTCGTAACTTGTAAATTATATTCCAGACCCATGGTGAACTCGCGTCCGAACCGCACGAGACTGGTGATGACCAGGTCAGGGCGCAGAATTAAAGGAAGAGGACCGAGGGTGAGAGAATAAATATGACTTGCTTTGAAAGGCAGATCATGAGAGTTAAATGTGAATTCACTCAAAAACTTTGGGCTCGGTAAGATTTCGGAAAGACGTCTCTTATGCTTAGCAAGGCTGCATTTATTTGATCAAAAATGCAGTTAAAACCGTAATATTGTGAAATATTTTAACATTTAAAAAAAAAAAAAAATTATATTTTAATACATGTATTTATTCCTGTGAATAAAGTACTCCAGTCTTCAGTGTCACATGATCCTTCACACATCTTAATATGCTGATTTGCTGCTCAAGAAACATTTCTGAATATTATCAACGTTAAAAACAGTTTATATAATAAACTATTTCATGTCAACCAGTTTATATAAATTAAATTTAGTATAATTTTTTGTGGAAACCATGATGCACCATGAAGTTCAAAAGAATAGCATTAATTTAAAAATAGAATTAAAAAAAAAAATGTATATTATAAACGTCTTTACTGTTAACTCTGGTCAATTTCACGCATCCTTTCTGGATAAAAAGAAAAAAGAACTGATCCCAAACTTTTGAACAATCCATGTTTTGTTTTACATATATCTTTTTTTTATTCATTTTAGTGAATAAAATTAAAGCTCATTTTTATTATTATTATTATTTTATTTTTTCCTGTAGCGTTACCGGACACCATCTAGATCTCGCTCGCGGTCATGGGATCGGTTTCGCCGCAGTGAGACACCTCCACACTGGAGGCAGGAAATGCAAAGGACACAGAAAGCTAAAGCAAACATAGCCGCCACCCAGGATCGATGGATCAAAGGGGACAAGTATGTGCAATTTTTACAGTGCACACAGATATTGCATCCAGGATTCATGCAATGAGTTCATAAACTTGTTCACTCAAAAGTAAAATTTTGTTTTCTTGCCCTTGTGCTATTCCAAAACGTTACTTGCACTCAAAGAGTTATCTATATTATATAATTTATAAAAATATATATTTATTATTCTTACTTGGAAAATAAATCTTTTATGTGTGTGTGTGTTTTTTTTTGTTTTTTTTCCAGAGGTGATCTGTCAGAGGAAAAGACCCAAGCCACTGAGCCAGCCAGCGAGAACACAGCTGCAGGACAAGAAGAAGCAAAAAAGAACTCTGAACGAGAAAAGAGAGATGCAAAGCGGGACAAATCACGCAGTCCCTCCAGAGGAAGAGACAGGAAGAGGGACAAACATCGCTCCAAAAGCAGAGATAGGGATGCATGGAAAAAGGCCGATGCTGATGCAGAAAAGAAAAAAGCTCGCAGCCGGAGCAAGAGCAAAGAAAAGAAGAGAGAAAAGGAAAAGCACAGTAAAGCGGATGACAAACGGGGACGCTCAAGCAGCAAAGACAGGAAAGAGAAAGATGCCAAAGAGCGTGACAAGGAGGGCGAGCAAAAGGACAGAAGCAAAGAAAGGAGCAAACAACATTCAGAAGGGAATGACAAGGAAAAGTCAAAAGAGGTGGAAAAGAAGAAGAATGGAGAGCAGCGACGTGACCGATCTAGAAGCAGAGAAAAGGGTCGTGACGGGTCACGGAGGTCCCGGTCCAGAGGCCGCGACAAGTGTGGCCAATCACGCGACCGAGGCTGTGACAGACGCCACAGCAGCAGCCGGGACAGAAGATCATCTCGCCGGTCGAGAAGCAGAGAGCGAGACAGACGAGACCGCAGGAGAGACGCAGAAGACCGAAACAAGAGGAAGAGTGCAGAGTCAAAGAGCAGAGGACGAGACAGGAACTCCAAAGAGCGATCCTCCCAGAGACCGAGAAGCCGAGAGCGAGATGATCGACAGAGCGGCAGGAAGAGGAAAGAAAAGAGTGAGAGTGGAAGCAGCGATTCTGAGAGCGATGCTGATAAACAGAAGAAAAGAAAAAGGAGCGAGAGTCCGAAATCTAAAGAGAGAGCGAAGGACAAATCTAAAAGTCCAAGCAAAGATGCGAAGAAAAAGGACTCCTCTTCCAGTGACGGCGACTGAGAGACTGCATGTACCACTCCATTTTTTGTTTTCATTTTCCCCATCAATGACTTGCTGTACAACGTTGGATACAAAGAGACATATTTTAGTCATTGTGTGAAACAGACATGCCCCTCTATGACTGATACGGATCACAATGTCCTAATTTGTTTCAGTTGAATCGGTTATATTTGTCCTGCTTTTATCTGACATTTGTTTTCATTTTCTTGCCCATATCCTGACATAAGCGTTTAGTGAAAATGGTTGCTTAATTGTTTTTCTGTCCAATCTGAGCTGTTTTTTAAAATGGGTTTGTTGGGGACATGTTCGCATACATTGGAGTTTTGTAAGGGCTTTATGTTTGTAACGAGATGACAATGTTAGCTTCTGTTGAATTTGACAAATAAAAATTGATACTGAACCTGTGAACTTCACTTTCAGTGGTCCTGTTTATTGAAGACTCTTCCCAACTTTCTTCAAGTGCAATTAGGAATTAAGGATGCAGAATTTATTGGTAGAGATTTTTTTCATTCTATTTTCCTTTCATTTATCTGTATTTAGTTGATCTGAAAATCTGAATTTGATTTTTGTTTTGTATCTAATTTTTTATAACTAATTTTAGGTCTACCATTGTGCATTCATATTAGCATTTCTTTATTTTATCATAAATGTTTTAGAAAGAGATCTTCAAAATCCTGACTGCAAACCTTTAATATGTCAAAAGGAAACAACACATTGGAACCTGGCTTTATCCAATGTTCAGATTTCTCTTCTGGAAATGTATGAAAATTAGCGCATGTTTAATGAAATAACGCCTCATTTCCACATTTAAACATTTTTCAGAAAACGTAATACATTAATGTCTTAATCTACTGATTAATCAGCTAAGTTACCACGTGATTTTTTTTTTTTTTTTTATATATTCAAGTTTGAAATTAGTGTTTCAGTCATAAATTGTGCGTTATTTCATACCTTTATGACTACTATTCTAAAATATTTACTAACACTATATTTTAAGTAAGACAACTCCGTTCTCATTCAGAATACATTGATTCACTTCTTTGAATGAAACAGAAAGCAAGCAAGAACGAACGACCCAAGCTCTTACGATTGTAGTGACCAATCAGAGCCTACCAATTCGTTTGAGTGACGTGAGTGGCAGCCAATCAGAGACGAGCCGTGGCTTGCGGGGCAGTGACTAATCATGCTTTGTGATGTAGGCAAGTGTCGGTCTCAGAATCGCTAACGAAATCGAGTAATTCACTCAGGCTGCCGCTTCAGGTCAGTATATATTTGATTTGCTTACATGCATCTCGTTATTTGACTTTCCGAGACAGATGTGTCGAATACTGAACATCTTTTTGTCGCTCATTATGTCAATACTTTGTTTTTGTGTCATTTCCAGCGCAGAATGAAGACCTTAGTAGTGTTCGACTTCGATCACACTATAGTGGATGACAACAGCGACACATGGGTGATCCGCTCCACTCCCGAGCAGACGTTACCGGATTGGCTGAAGAAGTCGTACCAGAAAGGCCTCTGGACCGAGTATATGGGTCGAGTCTTGACCTACATCGGAGAGCAGTCTGTCCAGCCGGAGCACATGCGCGCGGTCATGGAGAGCATCCCGTTCACCGACGGCATGATCGAGCTCCTGACCTTCATATCTGAGAACAAGAAAGACATCGACTGCATCATAATCTCCGATTCCAACAGTATCTTCATAGACTGGGTTTTGCATGCATCAGGGGTGAAGGCTGCTGTAGATGACGTCTTCACCAACCCTGCCAGCATCGATGCGCGCGGCTATATGAGCGTGCGCTGCTTTCAAGCGCATGACTGTCAGCAATGTCCCGTAAACATGTGCAAGAGGAGGGTGCTGCGTGATTTCAGAGAGAAGCAAGCTAAGGCTGATGTGCATTATGAGAGGATTTGCTATATAGGAGATGGAGGAAATGACTTTTGCCCCGTTCGAGAATTGAAAGAAGGGGATATTGCAATGCCTAGGAAAGGATTCACCCTAGAGAAACGGTTGCGCAAAGCCATTTCAGAGGATTCAGACGCACTGCATGCGAAAATCATGCCATGGACTAGTGGCAATGAAATCCTCAGGGAATTAACAGCTCTGATTGAGTAATATATTATTATAGACAATATTGTGACAAACTACAGACTCACTGAACTAATAGAATATCACATGTTTATTCTGCACTAAATGCATCATGTGCATCCTATTATAGCTCATTTCCCCCTTAATCTACTTGATAAACTAATTTGGGCATGGTGTAATGTCTGTCAGAATTAAGTTTATGTTTTGGTTTCATTGCACATTTTAAAATGTAATGTTTTTAACAGTTTTACATATCATTGTTTTGACAGTGATTTTAATCCTTTTGAGATTTAAATAATAAAATAAGCTCACCGTCTGAATTTATTTAACAATAATTTAACAGTTTGAGGTGCTTAATATTTAATCCACCGAGGTTTGCTGCAGAACATTAAAATGAACAAATGTAAATGCTGGCGAAATATTTATTCTAAAATCTGCATGATGAAAATCCTATCTATAATTCTATGCCGATGAATACCATTATTGTCATGTTGTAAGAAGTAAAGCAGCATGACTGTGACCCTAATCTTTAACACTGCAGTTTGGAAATGAAAATAGTTTAACATTTCAATGCAGAAGATATAAAACAAACCATATTATTATTATTAGAAACCCTAATCTGCATGTTAGTACCATATTTGCATAAATACAGTGGACGGGTTTTATTTTAGGGTTATTTTACTATATTTTATTTCTATTTTTAAGTTTATATATTACAAATAAATATAATAAATTAATTAAATAATATCATTTAAAAAATGTTGTTGTTATTATTAACGAAACACTTAAATGTTTTATTTATTTTCGGATTTTCATTGTGGTGTCAGACTTTTGGACCCCACTATATTTCAGTCATGTTTCGAAAGCCAGCCGGGTCATAGTAACTCGTGCTCGAGTCCTGATAACAGCATTTTGGGGTCAGACGTGTCGCTCTTGACTTTAGATAAGCAGTGTTGTGAATGTTTGTTCCTGAATGAGCTTGAATTTTACATGTGTATTATAAATGCAGCCTGATTCTTGATTCAGAGTGTTGTATTCAAAGCAGAGATGAATGGAGAACAGGGACTCTATATTGGCTTATAAATAAACAAAGTTTGCATGTCAGAAAAGTTCGTTAATATGACCGGAGCGGAGACCTTGTTCCTGTTAGCATTTACAACTAATCTTGTGTCCTTTGTACTTGTTACACACAGGCCATGCACATGTTTAGTGTCTGATTATAAAGGAATAAATTACCCAGTCTAAGTTATGGCTTGCCTTTTGCTTCTTTGAATAAATGATTGTATCGGAATGGAGGTTAAACTAAGCCTAGATAGCAGCCATGACTTAAAGGGGTCATATGATGCGATTTCAATTTTTCCTTTCTCTTTGGAGTGTTACAAGCTCTTGGTGCATAAAGAAGATCTGTAAAGTTGCAAAGACTAAAGTCTCAAATCCAAAGAGATATTCTTTATAAAAGTTAAGAGTCAGCCACGCCTACCTAAAACGCCTCGTTCTAACACGCCCCACATGTCTACATCACGATGTGGGAAGATTTGCATAACGCCGCCCAAATGTTCACGCAAAGAAAGAAGGCATAACTTTTATTCTCGCTGTAGTATTGTTGCTGCCGCCATGTCGTGAAGACGCTGTGTGTTTCGTTGTGAAAGCGAAACTACTTTGTTTGGTCTTCCAAAAGAGGACGATATCCGCTTCGTCATGCCTGGAGCTGATCTGTGCTGGTCGCTGAGGAAATACTTCAACTTTGCGCTGTGGATCGCCGGATCGGCTTTCACCGTGGACGAAGCGGAGTCCAGCCCGGGGTCGTCACATGTGGTTGCCGCAGGTATCACAATATGGTAAGGGGCGTAACATTTCCGTCATACGCTTGAGGAATTCGGCCAATCACAACGCACTGGATAGCTGGCCAATCACAGCACACCTCGCTTTTTCAGACTGATGAGCTTTGTCAAAATCGACGTGTTTCAGAAAGGCTCATAGAGGAGAAACAATAATGTACAGTATGTGGAAAATAATGTGTTTTTTGAACCTTAGACCGCATAAACACATCTCATTACACCAAATACACAAAATAATGTTCTTTTTAGCAGCATCATATGACCCCTTTAATTAGTCCAGCACACAGAGTCCAGCTGCACAAACCTCTAAAACCATTAGTAATAATTATAGGTTATATGATGTGTTTTCTTGTACAGCCGGCTTCTTGCTTTTGTTAGGGATTAAAAAATAATATTCAATAAAACAAGAGAAGATAATTTCTATAAGAGAAATTCCAGTGTTCTCTGACTGAAAACGCCTGAAATATTTAGGCTATTAATAAACTGCCTGTGTTTTAGCAAAGTGGTGCATAGGAGCATGGTAAAAAAAAATGGTAATGCACATTCAAACTAATGGAATCATTTAAAATGATTGAAAATAAAATAATTTAAAAAGAGCGGCTCGATGTTTATGTAAAAAAAAAATAAAGCAGTCAGGAAATGAGCGGATTCCGTGTTGAACTCACTTTCCCATGATTCTTCACCCGGTCTCTGAGTGACGTCATAACAACGCGACGCCATCCCCTGATGCACGTTCGGGTGGCGTTTGATTGAGCTCAGACAGATCAGAACGCAAGCAAAGTGAGTATGGGGTTTTTGCAGCGTTGATTGTTTTTCTAATGTTTACAGTGTCGCAATGCTTCAGAACGGAGAGAAAAACAGCATTGACTGATTGGGCGCCCGATGTTTGTTCAGTGTCATTGTGTAACGTGGCGCGCGTGGCGTAACGTTACATGATTTATAAATATCTATAACAGATATTGACTGAATTTATAGCCTACAGTCAGGTTATTTTAATCCTATTTAAAACTGGATATGTTCACTTCAACAGTCAGCACTCAGAAGCTGCACGCAGGAGTTTTGCTGTAACGTTACTCACACGTGGTTTGAGAATAAATTGATATTGTTCAATAAAAAAAAAGCACGTGGTTTGAGAATCACACACTTGTCTAGTCACACCTACATTTTTCATCACAATCTTTTACTTAAATTATGCTGATAATACAGTCTTGTGATGTCACTTTTATAGAAAATGCAGAATAGAAACAGTGTAAAAGTTTACAGACTTTTTCAAAATAGAAAATAAAATCTGTTTTTGTTATTTCTCGTCCCAGCAGAGATGGTAGACAATCAGGAAATGTCTCTTCTGGAGAAGAAGGTGGCAGAGCAGATTGAGGTGAGATGAGCATCATAATTAGGTTTATTTTCTCCTTCAAAGCCTTCATTCAAATGAGTGACATGAATGTGTTTCTGTGTGTGTTCAGTACTATTTTGGTGACCACAATCTCCCTCGAGACAAGTTTCTGAAGGAGCAGCTGCAGTTAGATGATGGCTGGGTCACTCTGGAGACAATGCTGAAATTTAACAGGTAAATACAAGAGAAATGCATCATGTTTTTGGAAATTGGAAAATAGAAGCTGGGTTTCTTTGGGTTCTAAAATGTCTTAACTCACGCTTACACAAATGAATTCCATAAAAAGGTTGTATATTTGAGCAGAAAGTCATAATTTCATAAAGTAACGGCATTAAATGTTGCATTCACTGCAAGAAATCCTCAGTATTTTTGTCTTGTTCTACAATACAAATACATAAAACATCCTTAAATCAAGATACGTTTAGTTGCAGATGCATTTTGAAGATATAAAGTTAAAGGGGTCATATGATGCGATTTCAATTTTTCCTTTCTCTTTGGAGTGTTACAAGCTCTTGGTGCATAAAGAAGATCTGTAAAGTTGCAAAGACTAAAGTCTCAAATCCAAAGAGATATTCTTTATAAAAGTTAAGAGTCAGCCACGCCTACCTAAACCGGCTCGTTCTAACACGCCCCCACATATCTACATCACGATGTGGAAATATTAGCATAATGCCGCCCAAATGTGCACGCAAAGAAAGAAGGCGTGGTTTCAGGAACAGCAGTAGTGTTGATGCAGCATGTCAGGGAGATGCTGTGTTTCAGTGCGAAAGCAAAAGCACTTTATTTGGCCTTCCGGAAGTAGATGCAATTAGGAATCATTGGTTAAGATTTATTTACAACAGAACAGCACAACCCAGATGTTCGAATTTGTGCAACGCATTTTATGGACAACAGTTTTTTGAACCTAGAAGAGTACAAGGCTGGCTGTGCACAAAGGCTATTTCTAAAAAAAAAATAAATAAATCCAAATACACAAAATAATGATCTTTAAAATAGCATCATATGACCCCTTTAAGAAATTAAGTGCTTCAAACAAGAACTAAAGAAAGAAATGTCAATAGGTACAAAAACATGTTTGCTCTGAGTTAATTTGGTTTTTCTGAGCCCATTGTCAGATATTTGTTGTTTTAATTATAAACTCACTTCATTTGGTCAATTTTGTCGTTTTGCTTCTCAAGTAAATGTATCTTAAGATATTTGTACTGGAAAACAAAATACTGAGGAAGAACAACACTTTTTTTGTATCGTGTGAAAAAGTGGAAAACGCGAGTAAAAAGCAATGAAGATCTGTTGGACATTTCCATTGGAAGTATTTTCAAACTTTGAAGCGTTGCTAATACAATTAATTGCGTGCGTTTAGAGAACACACAAAAATAGTGTGTACCCTTCAGTTTATTTCTTAAATTTTCTTTACTCTGGTCTCTAAAAGTATGAAATTAGCTTTCACAAAACTTGCAGAAACCCTGAATAATGCTTTTTTTGCTGTGGTCACCATGAACTGTTGTTGCATGAAAAGAGAGCTACTACTAAGAAATATTCCTTTTTAAAAATAACACTCAGAGTCAGTCTATGTAGCTTGTAAATCTAACGGCTCAGGGTTTTTGCTGCTGTTGTGTTTGTCTCATTTTGTGTTCGTCCTCAGACTAAAGAGTCTCACATCAGACCCAGCTGTTATTGTTGAGTCGCTGCAAAAATCTAAAACGGGTTTGCTGGAGATCAGCGAGGACAAAACCAAAATAAGACGAAATCCGAACAAACCTCTTCCAGAGAACAATGAGGAGTACAGGGACGCGCTCAAACACAAAACCATCTACATGGTGAGCGAATGGGAACAATGACATCAAGTTCCTCTTTCTGCCCCTGCGTTACCTTTGCTTTAAAACAAACAGTGTATAATAGGGTTTTAACAGGTCCTGTTTGTATTACTGGATACTATTGTTTTTCTCTTTTGTCAAGCCACGTGTTTCTGTTGGTTGACGGATATTAATGTTTAAATTCAACAGAAAGGTTTTGCTCTTGAAACCACACTGGATGAAATTAAAGAGTGGTTTGCAGATAAAGGCACAGTTGAGAACATCTACTTGAGGAAAGGAGCCCAGAAGACTTTCAAAGTAAGAAACCATTTGGACAAGTATCTCAGGAAGAATTTTTTTATGACTTCAGTGGTCAGACTAGTGTTATGGTTTATACGCAGTGGTCACCAACCTTTTTTGGCCCAAGATCCCTGACCTCGGCCTTTATGAAAGACAAGATCTACCTATTGAAGAATTGATAGAAAAAGACATCCCAGATTGTACTTCAAATTTGAGGCCTTTTACTTAGTATTTTAGGGGGGTCTCCTGTAAAATTCGCATTCCGGGGTAAAATACATGTTTTTCGGCGGGGATCTTCCAGTAAAATTCACATTCCAGCGACTAAATATCACGTTATTGGGGTCGCTTCAACCCGCGGACATGAACAACAACCTGCGGCAACAGTGTTAAAGTAGCCCAATTCCGCGGGAAAACCGCGGACTTGGCAACACTGCTTGTGAACCTATAGCGTTTCCTTGGTTACCGCTGTAAACAAAGCAGAGTTGCACTTTATACGGAGAAGAAAATGCCATTGCCATCTAAACTTTTCTCAAGACAGTGCCCTTCAGTGATGCATTAATATAACCCCATAAATGTAATGCATTTTTGTACTTATTTTACAGTTTTTGTTTTGCGATCGACGGGTTGGCGACCACTGTTTTAATTAATTATTTTAATTTTCGATTTTAATTTTTATTCTTTAAAGATTTCTATTTAGCTTTATTTTTTAGTTTTAGTCATTTTAGTACACTGTAAAAAATTTTTCAATAAAACGTATTTTGAATACATTTTACAAGAAAATGCTTGAATTTCAGTCTTCAAAATTTCACATTTAGTTTAACGTGTTGCTGTTGCTTTGCTAGTAAATTTCACAATTAATTACACAGTTTCTGAGTAAAAATTACTTGTGCGTCCAGTTTTTTCAGTGTACGTCAAACTTATTTTATTTTAGTTAGTTGCCAAGGCAACATTTTAAGTTGGCATTTCATATAATACTTATATTGTATTTTTTCAGCTTTATTTCAGTCAGTCAAAACAAATGTTAATTTTTTTTTGTTAACAATGGGACAGACAAGACTACAATACTTGAAAACTGTACTTCGCATCGTAAAACTATTTTACTGTGAGTAAATCAAGAAATTTTGTATCTACCTCAGTTTTTCAGTTTCCGTTGCTGTTATTGTCTGCAGGGATCGATCTTTGCGGTTTTAGAGTCTGAAGAAGCCGCCAAGGCTTTAGTGGAGCGCACTGATGTCAAAGAGTACAAAGGGAACGAGATGATCGTCATGATGAAGTAGGTGCTTCTGCATTTGTCTCTGAGCATTGCATGTTGTTTTCTTAGTACCTGAATGGCTTTGAATGTTCTGGTGTGAGAGTTGTTAACCTTTTTGACCTCTGTCTGTAGAGATGACTATTTTTCTAAAAAGGTGGCTGAGAGGAAGCAGAATCGCGTGGAAGCAAAAGCTAAAGCAAAAAGGTAATGCACAACACCTGTTTTCTACAAAAAAGTGAGATGAGTTGAAAGTTATAATTGGTAAATGTGCATTTCAGTGAAAAGGAGGACAAGCAGAAGCAAGCTGAAGATGAAGAGCTGGTGAGTTTTCATGCGGAAATGCAAATAAAACAAGTTCTCAGATGTGACTGTGTTAATAATATATGGCTCTTCTGTTTACCCAGAAATCCCTGAATGATCAGAGAGGCTGCCTGCTGAAGTTCTCCGGTGAATTGGGTCAGATCTCGAGAGAGGATTTCCACACGGTCTTCTCAGATCATGCTCGGATCAAATGGATTGATTTCACCAGAGGAGCTAAAGAGGTGAGAAATGAACATGCTTCACAAATACTTCTGTCGAATTCAAGTCTAGACAACATTATTTTTAATTATTTAACATCAGTTTTTAAAATCTCGTTTTAGCTGGTGTTGTATGTTTCTAATGTTGTAATTTCCACAAATTGTATTATTTTGCTAACATTTTTGAAGAAACCGTGTCCTCCATTAGTATTGGGACAGTAAAGACAAAATTGTTCTGTTTGCTGTGGAGTCAAGAAATCTGTAAATATGATTAAAAGATGAATACGAGACAAAACTACAGAATGTCATATTTTATTATTGGGTGATTCAACACATAGATGTTTTACCAGCTTCTAGAGTTTCATCCCACTATCTGATTTGAGCATAAGTATTGGGACAGTTGCCTAACAGGTCTTTCTGAGTGATCAGCTGTGTCCTGTTGCATTCATTGTTCAGATATTAAAAGCAGGGAATGTGTCGTATCAGATATATCAATTGCTTCTGCATTCTGAGTCTTTCATTCGATGACGATACACACAAACCAGGATGAAGACAAGGGAGCTGACTTTGAGAGAGAAAAGCAAGCAATTTGGATGCTAAAAGAAAAGAGGAAGGCAATTAGAGCTATAGCAAAAACAAAGGGCATGGACAAATCAAGAGTTTGGAAACCACTGGAGACATCAGCAATCAACAATGACCTGATCGGCTGAGAAAAACAACAGCAGTTGATGACAGTCATATCATAAAAGCTGTGAAAATGAACCCTAAAATGCATGTCTGTAAAATCACCAACAGCCTCCTGAAAGCTGGGGTGATGCTCTGACAGTCTACTCTCCGCAGGAGACTTTGACATAGTTACAGAAGCTACAGCAAGATGCAAACCTCTGACCAGCACCAAAAAAAGAAAGGCAAGATTAGAGTTTGAGCCAGTAGAGGCTCAAACTCTGGCTCTTGATTAGAGCCAGTAGAGTTTATGGACCGATGAGACAAAGATGAACCTTTATCTAAGGGATGTGAAAGCAAAAGTGTGGAGAAAAAAGGGAACTGCAAATAACCCTAAGCATACAGCCTCATCTGTAAAGCATGGAGGAGGCTGTGTCATGGCATGGGCAATGGGCATGCATGGCTGTCTGGAACAGGCCCTCTCAGCTTTAATGATGACTTAATGTATGATGACAGTAGCAGAATGAATTTGGAAGGGTACAAAACCATCTTGGTTACCAATATTCAAGAAAATGCCACCAGACTCATCAGAAAGCACTTCATAGTGCATCAGGACAATGACTCAAAACACCCTGCCAGTTCAGTAAAGGACTTTTATCAGGGAAAAGAAATGGAAAGTCTTAGATTGCCCAAATCAAACTCCAGATTTAAATCTGATTGAACATAAAATTCACCAGCTGAAGAGGAGACTAAAGGCAGAAACTCCCCAAAACAAGCAACATTGGCTGCATTAAAGGCTGGGAAACGCATTTCAAAGGATGAGACCAAGAGTCTGTTGATGTCTGTGGGTCGCAGACTCACTGCTCTGATTGCATGCAAGGGATCTGGAACTAAATAACAGCTTTTAATCTTTTACATCTGCCTTAAGTTCAACTGTCCCAATACTTATGCTCACATTTTTTTAAAAGCACGGTTTTAAAGATGAAAGTATAATTTTTTTGTTTTTGAAAAGCCTCACCAAAGCTGCATTTGTTGCACAAAAAAAACAGTAATATTGTGAAATGTTACTACAATTTCAAATAATTGTTTTCTGTTTGATTGTATTTCAAAATGTAATTTATTCCTGTGATCAAAGCTGAATTTTCAGCATCATTACTCCAGTCTTCAGTGTCACATGATCCTTCAGAAATCATTCTAATTTGCTGATTTGCTGCTCAAGAAACATTTCTGATTAATTTTATAAAATGTTGTGCTGCTCAGTATTTTTATGGAAACTGTGACGCATTTTTCAGGATTCTTTGATGAATAGAAAGTTCAAAAGAACAACATTTAACCATTATGAATGTGTCTACTGTCTGTCTTTAAAAAAAAAACAATCCAGTCTTTATTAGCAATATGAGTTATACCTTTAAAGATGTCTTCCTCCATTAATTTCTGTCGTTGATATCTTCCTCAGGGCACCATCCTGTTCCACTCAAACGCCCAGGAGGCCCTGCAGAAGGTCCGAGAGGCTAAAGGAGGAGAAGATCCTAAGGTTAAAGAGCAGGTTGTTCAGTGGGAGGTACTTGAGGGAGACGTAGAAATGGAGACTCTGAAGAAAATCATCGAGGATCAGCAGGAGTCCATGAACAAACGTAAAGGAGGCAGAGGTAATTCAGAGGACACCGTAAACACACATGCAGGTGTCTGAACTCACAGTTTAACACATTGCTCTGATGCTACGCCGTATCCTGTGACTGCAGGAGGTCACAGGGGTCGTGGAAGAGGCAGGGGAGGAGGCAGAGACCGAGGAGGAAGAGACATCAGAAAGCACTTCATAGTGCATCAGGACAATGACTCAAAACACCCTGCCAGTTCAGTAAAGGACTTTTATCAGGGAAAAGAAATGGAAAGTCTTAGATTGCCCAAATCAAACTCCAGATTTAAATCTGATTGAACATAAAATTCACCAGCTGAAGAGGAGACTAAAGGCAGAAACTCCCCAAAACAAGCAACATTGGCTGCATTAAAGGCTGGGAAACGCATTTCAAAGGATGAGACCAAGAGTCTGTTGATGTCTGTGGGTCGCAGACTCACTGCTCTGATTGCATGCAAGGGATCTGGAACTAAATAACAGCTTTTAATCTTTTACATCTGCCTTAAGTTCAACTGTCCCAATACTTATGCTCACATTTTTTTAAAAGCACGGTTTTAAAGATGAAAGTATAATTTTTTTGTTTTTGAAAAGCCTCACCAAAGCTGCATTTGTTGCACAAAAAAAACAGTAATATTGTGAAATGTTACTACAATTTCAAATAATTGTTTTCTGTTTGATTGTATTTCAAAATGTAATTTATTCCTGTGATCAAAGCTGAATTTTCAGCATCATTACTCCAGTCTTCAGTGTCACATGATCCTTCAGAAATCATTCTAATTTGCTGATTTGCTGCTCAAGAAACATTTCTGATTAATTTTATAAAATGTTGTGCTGCTCAGTATTTTTATGGAAACTGTGACGCATTTTTCAGGATTCTTTGATGAATAGAAAGTTCAAAAGAACAACATTTAACCATTATGAATGTGTCTACTGTCTGTCTTTAAAAAAAAAACAATCCAGTCTTTATTAGCAATATGAGTTATACCTTTAAAGATGTCTTCCTCCATTAATTTCTGTCGTTGATATCTTCCTCAGGGCACCATCCTGTTCCACTCAAACGCCCAGGAGGCCCTGCAGAAGGTCCGAGAGGCTAAAGGAGGAGAAGATCCTAAGGTTAAAGAGCAGGTTGTTCAGTGGGAGGTACTTGAGGGAGACGTAGAAATGGAGACTCTGAAGAAAATCATCGAGGATCAGCAGGAGTCCATGAACAAACGTAAAGGAGGCAGAGGTAATTCAGAGGACACCGTAAACACACATGCAGGTGTCTGAACTCACAGTTTAACACATTGCTCTGATGCTACGCCGTATCCTGTGACTGCAGGAGGTCACAGGGGTCGTGGAAGAGGCAGGGGAGGACGCAGAGACCGAGGAGGAAGAGAACAGACCCAGTTCAAGGGAAAGAAGACCAAGTTTGATAGCGATGAAGAGGGAGATGAAGGTAAAAGGGACATTTCTCCTCGATTGATGTCACATACACTGAAAGAAATGGCGTAGAAACAATTTTCACTCTGAAATTGCTAGTAAATTGTCACACTTTAGTTTGGGGACCAATTCTCACTATTAACTACAACTTTTGCCTAGAAATCCTAGTTTGCTGCTTATTAGTAGTTAGCTTAAGATTAAGAGATCTAAAATATGGTCATGCAGAATAAGGCATTAATATGTTCTTTATAAGTACTAATAAACAGCCAATATGCTAGTGCTATGCTAACTAGTTAATAGTGAGAATTGGTACTTATAAATCTCACATATAGTTACAAAAAAAACAGTAAGTATCATGTTGAATTAAATATGAAATGTTGAAGTTGAAAGACCAAAGTAGTATTTTCTTATAAAACGTACTCCAATAATCTGTTTTATTTACAACTTTGAAAAGTCATTTTTAATGTAATTTTAATAATATAAATGTAAAACAATAATATAATAGGTATGATTTTGTTTTAAATATATATTTGTATTTATTTATTTATTGAACTTCTTATGCCTGGTAATACTTGTCATTTAAAACATTTAGAAGTATAATTAAATAATATACTTAAGACATAGTCAGACGTTGTGGTCGTAGTTTTCCTCAATACAAAACTACTACAAATCAAAACCAAACAGAATATAATGAGCTACGAATTTGTTGCATAGCCTTTTCTATTTGTTTTTATTATTTTAAAATTGTAATTGCAGCAAAGCAAATGTACTTTCTTGTTCTTACTATGTCCGTGACATAAAACTGCCTTTGTACATGCATTTCTAATTGAAGATTTCTGATATTTTGTTGAGGCTGAGACTGGAGGTTAGTCAGGCTTTTCATTAGTTTCATCACCCACAGACATGTAGTGTATTCAAATGCCTGAGTAAATAAAGTTTGCGTTGAGTTTTTGACTTTAGTCATATGAAATCAGAAATGTATTTTGTTCCTTCAACAGAACAAGCCAGTCCAAAGAAGAGACCTCTGGAGTCTAACGGTCAAGATAACGAAGAGCCGGCTTCCAAGCAAGCAAAAAGCGAGAACGGTTCTTAAGGGCAAAGAACTGTGGCCTTGTTTTTGTACGATTTTCTCTAAAATCGAGAAACCTGGAAAATGCATTCTCAGACTACTTCTTGTGTCAAAAGATGCACAAAAGCTTTATGCCACACTTTTCCCCTGAACTCACCATGAAAAAGGCACTTTTTTTTTTCTTTGAGCAAACATACTGCGTGCCTGGATGTTGTTTATTTATTTGCCATACACACACTTATGATTGCTGGTATGATTTAAGATCTCATCTGCAGCTCTATAAATGTGTCATTTTTAAAATCTATTCAGCTTAAGCAGTTAGCTGGAAGCGCTTATATAAGTGTTGACATCTTCAATTGCATATTTTCATTCCTTGAGCGCTGACAGTCTGCAGAATCTACACCGATTGTGTTTTGAGCGTAATCAAAGAGTTGATTATCGGTTCTGACAGCATTTGTTAAACGCAGTACTGTATTATCATAGAACTGTTTGAGGCCTACAAGTGAACTTAATTAAGGTTTTGAAAATGTCAGAATTTTTAGTAATAAGCATTGGTCAATATTGTTGTTTTTTTCCATTAACGAAAACCTGTTTTCCACCTGCTAGATTATTCCATTGCTTTTGTCACTTGCACAAACGTAACATAAGACAATAAGTGTGTGTTATTCTTGTTTCTTTTTATACGTTGCTGTAAAGTTGCTTTAAGTGGTTACAGAGGCATGCCGATCTGGAGAGTTTTCATTAGGAGGAATTAGATTTGACTGAACCTTTTTTTTTTAAATCATATTTTTTTTATCACAGCAATGGATACATGTCTCTTAATCTAAAGTGCTGTTTTAGATGCCATGCTTCATATTTACCCATTCAGGGCTTCAACAAGCACTCATTATTTTTTCCTTATGTTTTTTACTGTCATCTGTTGAGATGAATATTACACAAATTTAGAAATTCAGTAAAGAGTCTTGAAAATCAGAATAGTAATTATGTATGTGGTGGTGTCATTTTTGATGCAGTAATCATGGTGTGCCAATTCATTTGTGGCTTATTATTGTGGAGTATTGGTAAATGTTATTTATATTTAAATTAATATTCTTGCAGTTGAACAGGCCCCTAATGCTTCTGTTGTTAAAAAAAAAGGCAAAAATTATAATGACAGCCACTAACTTTATACTCGATGCTTTTGACACAATAGACTCAAAACCACAGTGAATCATTCAAAGATTACACGTAAAACTTGCTAAAGGATTGAGCATAAAAAGTAGTAAATGTTGTCTAGCTGGAATGCTCATATAAAATTCTAATATTTTATATTTAGATTGCAACAGTGGCAGCCAGAGAGAACTATTGTGCTCAATGGAAATTTGTTGTGTCAGACTGAATCTAAACCATTGTATTTTTGTAATATTGCTAATATTATGACTACCGTGTTTCTGCCTTAAGTCTTGATTCACCTTTCCACAAATGAAGGCCTTAAAAAGGTCTAAAATCTGAGCAGAAGAGATTTAATTCAAAGTCGTGCATGGCATTAAATGTTGCAGTGCATTAAATGCACTTAAAAAAAAAACATTACGAATATATTTACAAACGATACATTTACTTGAGATACAAAAAGTCGTGTTTTCTGAGAAACTGGTCAAAATAGTTTTTAGATTTTGAAGTTTATGCTTAAAGTAAAATTAAGATTTTTTTTTTTTCAAAATGAATTATTTAGTCATATGAAATCAGAAATGTATTTTGTTCCTTCAACAGAACAAGCCAGTCCAAAGAAGAGACCTCTGGAGTCTAACGGTCAAGATAACGAAGAGCCGGCTTCCAAGCAAGCAAAAAGCGAGAACGGTTCTTAAGGGCAAAGAACTGTGGCCTTGTTTTTGTACGATTTTCTCTAAAATCGAGAAACCTGGAAAATGCATTCTCAGACTACTTCTTGTGTCAAAAGATGCACAAAAGCTTTATGCCACACTTTTCCCCTGAACTCACCATGAAAAAGGCACTTTTTTTTTTCTTTGAGCAAACATACTGCGTGCCTGGATGTTGTTTATTTATTTGCCATACACACACTTATGATTGCTGGTATGATTTAAGATCTCATCTGCAGCTCTATAAATGTCATTTTTAAAATCTATTCAGCTTAAGCAGTTAGCTGGAAGCGCTTATATAAGTGTTGACATCTTCAATTGCATATTTTCATTCCTTGAGCGCTGACAGTCTGCAGAATCTACACCGATTGTGTTTTGAGCGTAATCAAAGAGTTGATTATCGGTTCTGACAGCATTTGTTAAACGCAGTACTGTATTATCATAGAACTGTTTGAGGCCTACAAGTGAACTTAATTAAGGTTTTGAAAATGTCAGAATTTTTAGTAATAAGCATTGGTCAATATTGTTGTTTTTTTCCATTAACGAAAACCTGTTTTCCACCTGCTAGATTATTCCATTGCTTTTGTCACTTGCACAAACGTAACATAAGACAATAAGTGTGTGTTATTCTTGTTTCTTTTTATACGTTGCTGTAAAGTTGCTTTAAGTGGTTACAGAGGCATGCCGATCTGGAGAGTTTTCATTAGGAGGAATTAGATTTGACTGAACCTTTTTTTTTTAAATCATATTTTTTTTATCACAGCAATGGATACATGTCTCTTAATCTAAAGTGCTGTTTTAGATGCCATGCTTCATATTTACCCATTCAGGGCTTCAACAAGCACTCATTATTTTTTCCTTATGTTTTTTACTGTCATCTGTTGAGATGAATATTACACAAATTTGGAAATTCAGTAAAGAGTCTTGAAAATCAGAATAGTAATTATGTATGTGGTGTTGTCATTTTTGATGCAGTAATCATGGTGTGCCAATTCATTTGTGGCTTATTATTGTGGAGTATTGGTAAATGTTATTTATATTTAAATTAATATTCTTGCAGTTGAACAGGCCCCTAATGCTTCTGTTGTTAAAAAAAAAGGCAAAAATTATAATGACAGCCACTAACTTTATACTCGATGCTTTTGACACAATAGACTCAAAACCACAGTGAATCATTCAAAGATTACACGTAAAACTTGCTAAAGGATTGAGCATAAAAAGTAGTAAATGTTGTCTAGCTGGAATGCTCATATAAAATTCTAATATTTTATATTTAGATTGCAACAGTGGCAGCCAGAGAGAACTATTGTGCTCAATGGAAATTTGTTGTGTCAGACTGAATCTAAACCATTGTATTTTTGTAATATTGCTAATATTATGACTACCGTGTTTCTGCCTTAAGTCTTGATTCACCTTTCCACAAATGAAGGCCTTAAAAAGGTCTAAAATCTGAGCAGAAGAGATTTAATTCAAAGTCGTGCATGGCATTAAATGTTGCAGTGCATTAAATGCACTTAAAAAAAAAACATTACGAATATATTTACAAACGATACATTTACTTGAGATACAAAAAGTCGTGTTTTCTGAGAAACTGCTCAAAATAGTTTTTAGATTTTGAAGTTTATGCTTAAAGTAAAATTAAGATTTTTTTTTTTTTCAAAATGAATTAAAAAAGTAATGAACATCTGTTGAAATTTTTATTTTTATACTTCGAAAAACATTGACATTGTGTTCTCTTCAATTTTTTCATTTTTCATAGCTGCAGAAACCTTGGACTAAATTAAGAAGGCTAAATGCTACAATACATTATTTTTTTTATTTTTTTTTTGAATGAAACTGAAAATGATTATGATTTGCTGTTATTGAAAGACCTGTATGCTCACAGCACAAACATCGCTACATCATTATGATGTATGATACCATATTGTGTTGAGAGGAAAAGTGTAGAGCTCCGTGTCTTTCAGAGGTTAAAGCTGCAGTCCGTAACTTTTGGTGCTCTAGCGGTTAATAAACAGAGCTGCGTGCGTCTTGCGGAAGAACATTGTAGCCGGAGCTACTTCTCTCTGTTTATGTCTATGGCGAATCACGCAGGTACTGGGCTACTCCGCAGCGGCACCTACCCGAACCAGTCTAAATAGTCCGAATATAAACACTTATTATAGGTGTACCGTAGTGATTCAGGACAAGCCAAAGACACGGTTTGGAAAATGGATTCATGGTGTACTCGATTATTATATACATTTTGTAAATTTTGAACACAAAAAAGTTACGGACTGAAGCTTTAACAGAATATCGAGCCAAATTGACTTATTGCTAGTTGGTCAGACTATAATTCTTAAAGGGGTCATATGATGTTGCTAAAAATAACATTATTTTGTGTATTTGGTGTAATTAAATGTGTTTATGCGGTTTAAGGTTCAAAAAACACATTATTTTCCACATACTGTACAT